TTGATCTATATTTCTGTCTTTGTGCCAGTACCATACTGTCTTGATGACTGTGGCTTTGTAGTAGAGTCTGAAGTCAGGCAGATTGATTCCTCCAGTTCCATTCTTCTTTCTCAGGATTACTTTGGCTATTCGAGGTTTTTTGTATTTCCATACAAATTGTGAAATTATTTGTTCTAGTTCTGTGAAAAATACTGTTGGTAGTTTGATAGGGATTGCATTGAATCTATAGATTGCTTTGGGTAGTATAGCCATTTTGACAATATTGATTCTTCCAATCCATGAACACGGTATATTTCTCCATCTGTTTGTGTCCTCTTTGATTTCTTTCATCAGTGTTTTATAGTTTTCTATGTATAGGTCTTTTGTTTCTTTAGGTAGATTTATTCCTAAGTATTTTATTCTTTTTGTTTCAATGGTGAATGGAATTGTTTCTTTAATTTCTCTGTTTTCTCATTGTTAGTGTATAGGAATGCAAGAGATTTCTGTGTGTTAATTTTATATCCTGCAACTTTACTGTATTCTCAATGAAATATTTTCTTAAATTTTGAATCAACCATACATTTACTGAAAAGTTACAAGTGTAATACAGAGAACAGCTTTATCCTGACCCATTTGGGAGTAAGTTGTTAATCTGATATTTTTCTATTTTGTTTTGTTTTACAAAGCAGGACATTTCTTCTACATAAACACATCAGGAAGCACATTCTATCAAAATCAGGAAATTAACATTAGTACTAACCAAGACTCCATTCAAGTTTCAGCAGTTGTGTCTAAATAATGTCCTTTATGCAAAATGATCCAGTACAAAAGTGTGCGTTGCATTTTATAGTTGACCCTTGAGTAATGGGGGAGCAGAGGGGCTCACTCCCACACAGTTGAAAGTCTGTGTGTAACTTCACAGTTGGTTCTTTCTCTCTAAAGTTGCGCTCACGTGTGTGTGTTAAGTCACTTAAGTCCTGTCTGACTCTGTGACCTTAATGGCTGCATTCAGCCAGTCTCCTTTGCCTATGGGGATTCTCCAGGCAAGAATATTTGGGTGGGTCGCTGTGCCCTCCTTTAGGGAATCTTCCCAATCCATGGATCGAACCTGAGTGTCTTATGTCTCCTACATTGGCAGGCAGGTTCTTTACCACTAGTGCCACCTGGGAAGCCCTTTGCATCCATGCATTCAGCCAACTGGATCGTGTAGTATATATTTGTTGAAAAAAATCCATGTAAGTTGACTTGTGCAGTTCAGAGTGTGTTTTTCGTGGGTGAACTATAGTTACCATATCTCTTCAGTGTTATTCAGTTTGCCACACTTTTACAGAGGTGGCTTTCATGATCTTGATGCTTTTGAAGATTATAAGCCAGTTCTTTGGTAGAATTTCCCTTACTTGGGGTTTGTATGCTATCTCCTCATGATTAGATTGTGGTTGTGTGACTTTGGCCGTAACATTAGGAAACTGTAGTGTCTGGTTTTTCTTATTGCATCCTATTAGGTGGCTCGTGATTTTAATTTGGATCATTGCTGGTGGTCTTCAGTCTAATTACTTGATAAAAGAGTTGTCTTATCAAAATTTTCCAGTGAAAAATTATTCTTTTCCCATTTGTAAAAAAAATGTTTATTGGTTGGAGTGACAGAAGAATACTTGGAAACTGTTATTTTTTTTAAAAGAAGTTAATAGTTTATCCATTTACTGCTGAATAGACCAGTGGTTTCCTTTTTTTATTCAGTGTGTTATAATTTGTTATTACCATTATTTATTTGTCTTAAAATATAGGGAACATAAAGTTTTCCATTTTAGCCATTTTTAAATGTATAGTTCTATGCATTAGGTAAATTCAGTTATCATTATTTATTTTGATATTCAAATTGCCCTGATTTGACCAGTGATATCTCCTTTAAACTGGTCTCTGTTTGTTTGTTTGTTTGTTTGTTTTGACATATCCTTATCTTTCTTTGAACATTTCCCTGTTTTTTAACATAACAAGATGCCCCAAGCTCATCATTTACTTTCCCTTTCCCAGACTGTGAATTAGCCACTTCATGAACAAAAAAGATATTTCAAAACCTTTTAGTGGAAGAATTCAAGATTTGAGTACTAGATACACTTGTTGCTGATTTGGGGCTGTTTCTGTGGTCTCTTGATGGCCAAATCTAGGGAATGTGTACACACATTTGTGGTTATATTTATTTCTGTATTTGTCTATCTAGCATGCCACAAGTTCACATTGATACATCAGTTAATCTAACTGTAATCTAACTCTATAGGCTTCATTTTTCCTTTGTTCATATTTCTCTTTTCTCTTGATAGTGAGGTGCTTGATTCTCGTTATCCTTAATTTATTTGCTTCCATTGTCATCACTTCCCTTACTTGGCGCCTCTGGTATCTCCGCTGTCCCGTCTCTAGCCTCCTTTGCCCAGATACTGTTACCTGGTGTAACTCTGGGACCCATGCCAGGTTGTTCTACTGTGAAGATGCATTCCTCACCGTTTGGGGCTCAGATGTCAGCATTTTGTTGTAGGAAGTAGGACATGAATAATAATTATTAAATAGCTTTTGTTTTTTAATTGTTTTTTTGTAGCCCTAGATGCTCGCCTAGAAGTTGGACTCGAACAACAAGCAGAACTTATGTTGAAAATGATGTCTACCCTGGAAGCAGATTCCATTTTACAGGCATTAACAAATACATCTCCTACATGTATGTAAAAGTCACCACTCTTAGAGTGTTATACTTACCAGTTTATCTCTTGATTGTCGTCAGATGTACTCAGTAACAGTGGATTTTTTTATAACTTATCTTTGGCTGCACTGAGCCTCTGTTGCTTTGCAAGGGCTTTCTCTAGTTGCGGTGACGAGGGGCTACTCTCTTCTGCAGTCGTGGGCTTCTCATTGTGGTGGCTTCTCTTGTTGTGGAGCACACACACAGGCTCATCAGTTGCGGCTCTCGGGCTCTAGGGCGCAGGCTCCCTACTTGTGGCACACGGGCTTTGCTGCTCCACGGCACGTGGATTCTTCTGAGCCAGAGATTGCACTCATGTCTCCTGCATTGGCAGGCAGATTCTTATCCACTGTACCACCAGGGAACCACCAGTGACAGGTTTTTAAATTCTCCCTTGCTAATTTAGTAGCAAGTTGAGAGATAAGATAGAGGATTAATGAATTTAGAGAGTAGAAGGGAAACAGAACACCTCCATGTAGTGTTCTTAAGTTCAGTCCAAAAACTTCAGTCATGTTTTTGTTATTTGTGGTAGAGTGAGGTTAATGACATTCTTGGGGAAGCCTGCATAGCTAGCTGCCTAGGAGTTTGTTGCATTATATCCAGATTTATGATAAAGTGGGTTTCTTGATGGTAACATCTTTATCCTCCTTGAAGACATATGAAAGATGAAAGACATATCATGATGATAGCCAAATGGGTCTGATTGAACTACAGAATTAAGAGGACTTACTACCAAAACTATCTGTAGAAAAGAAGAAAAACTTTTTATAGTGAACAACCAGGTAGTAAATATTTTAGGCTCTCTGGGGCTGTGCATTGTGTTTTGCAGCTCTACTCTGACTTAAGCAGCTGTAGACAGCATACACCTAAATGAATAGCTATGGCTATTAAGAAAACCATGTTACAGAGTCTGGTGGCCTGCCAGATTTGGCCAATAGGACACGGTCTGCTGACTCGATGTTGTGCTAGACTTCAGTAGATCCACTTCTGTCACGTGAGTACAGTTAAGATAGCAGCCTGTCTACCTTAAGATAGAGCTGTTCTAGGGAGATGGTGATGTTTTTACTTTTCTTAGGTCAAGAAAAATGAAAATGTGGTGGGCATGGTGATGAATAAAAGTATAGGGATACTAGTTAAAACCTAGGAAGCATGTCATGTCCTTCTTTGAAGGAGAGTTCACAATTCTTTTCAAAAGAGAAATTTGGGTTTTCAGATCTTCCTGTGTAAAGTTGAATTCTTTTGCTTTGCATTTTTCATTTTTTCTTGCCTTAGGAAGTAGAGAAAAAACAGAAAAACCTAAGAATTGGTATAGTGTTCTGCTTCTTGATACATTCTATCTTTTGGTTATTCTTCTGCCCAAAACTGTGTTCCTCATTTAATATAAAACTTTCTAAATATATGAGAAAGTTCTCTTAGCATCCCTTTATTTCTCTGCTCACCATGAACCTATACTCAGTTAGTTTGGTGTATGTATCCTCGCATCAGTACTTTTCAATATTGCCCTGACAATTTTAATGTGCTTTTCAAGGTTGAGAATCAATGGATTAGAGTCTAGATTGTTGTAAAGCCATCTTCTAAAGAAATAGGCAAGGGTCTTCTTTCTTTCCCTTTTTTCCTCCCTCTTAGTAATTAGAAGAAAATTGCAGATAGAAATTGCTAGAGAGTAAGGTTCTTTCCCTTTGGTGGACAAGTGCCGTGAATTTGGGAGCTTCTCTTTGTGGTAATTTTTCTTTTGAACTTTGAAGTAATGTTGTAAAACCTTGTTTTCAAACAATGTAATGCTGAATCATTAAAAAAAAATGCAGTTTTAATTAAAAAAAAAAAACCACCTTAACTGTACATATTAATAGCTAGTTAACATTTCTCCTGCTACTTTGTGATAAAATCACAATTGTGTTTAATTTTCAGTATCACAGTCTCCCACCGGAACAGATGATTCACTTCTAGGGGGCTTACAAGCATCTAACCAGTCCAACCAGCTTATTGTACAGTTATCGTCTGTCCCAATGTTAAATGTTTGTTTCAACAAACTTTTTTCCATGCTTCAAGTCCATCATGTTCAGGTATGACTTCAGGAGAAATGATGTATTTTTAGACGTTGTTGCCGGCCTGGAAAAGATAAAATAACTAGAAAGATCATTCTCAATCAGACAGGGATGATTTCTTTGTCATACTCAGATAGAAAAATCTTGGAATTATTTTAATTAACCACAGTTCATCAATGATAGGTTATTTATTATTTTTATGATTTTAAACTTTACTTCTTTAGTTCTAACTGCATATTATACACACACCTGTGTTTAAAGACTTGAATCACCTCTTTTAATTTAGTAAAACATTTGTATTTGGTAAATTATAAATTTTAATTTAGTTAAATTTTATTTGATCTAGATTTTTAAGATGTTCGCTCTTCACCTGAATTGAAGTATCCAAAAATAATATTTAATTGACAAATTATTTACTCATAATTGTAAGGATTCATACATAAGTTTTTTTGTTTGAATGGTATTTCATGATATCATGGGTACATTTTCTTTCTGTCAATTTTCATTGCTTTTCAGTTGGAATCACTTCTCCAGTTGTGGCTCACATTGAGTCTGAATTCTAGTTCATCTGGAAACAAAGAAAATGGAGCAGACATTTTTTTATATAATGCTAATCGAATACCTGTCATTACATTAAATCAAGGTGAGATTTATTTGAAGGAAAATCATTAACATAGCATAAAGTAAGTTAAAAAGAAAATGATTAGGTTAATAATCTTTATCATGGTTGTAATGTTTTAGTAAAAAAAATCACCTATTTTAATATACTAACTTATTAATTAGCAGGAAAGAGGACAGAAAACTGTATTCTCTGATCTGTATTATGTCTGTCAGACATAAATTCTACAGTGCTCTGTTCATCTTTACATTGTATTTCCTTAAAGTATTGTCTTGTTTTTTTTGTCTTGTTTATAAGCTATTCTTTTTGTTTTTAATTCTTTATTCATTTGGCAGTGTCGGGGTTAGTTATTGGGTCTTAGTTGCGGCACACAGGGTCTTGATTGTGTGATTCTTGTTGAGTCTTGTGCGTCTTTTGCTGCGGTGCACGGACTCTCCGGGTGAGGCACATGGGCTTAGTTCCCCTACCAGGCATCGAACTCTTGTCCTCTGCACTGCAAGGCAGATTCTTAACCACAGGGAAGTCCCGTAAGCTATTCTTTTGCAACTGGTGCAGTAACTCTAGGAGAATTAGTAGATTGGAGAAAGATATCAATTTTTTTGTAGAAGTTGTGTTCATTCATTTTGTTCTTTTCTTGAGAAGTGCAGAAACATGGGAATTGCGGGACTTGAATAATATCCTTCAATAGGAATAGAACTCGCTTTCAGCTCTGGTTACAGGAATCTGTTTAAAGAAAAGTAATAATTATTTACTCCTGGTGCTTTCTCTCTGGCGACGTGCATCACACACGGGCCTCATGTGGCCTGTCTCTCAGCCTTAGTGACAGCTGTGCAGTCTCCTGGGCCTGCTTATGCATGTCTCTATAGGAGCCAGCCCTACTTTAATTATTAGGTTTCCATGTGTTTCACTGTATTAATGATTATTGCTATAAATTTTGCTCCCATCCCTTTTTTAAATTTTATTATTGTGAAAAACATTAAACATAAACAAGGGTTCAGTTCAGTCGCTCAGCTGTGTCTGACTCTTAAGAAGTATTAATTATTTCTTACTGTAGTCAGATATTTGGTCAGTATTCAAATTTCCAGTTGTCTAAACTGTTAACACAACTTTTTTGTTTATTAGAGATAGAATCTGTAGAGGGTCTGCACATTTTAATTATGTTTTTAAATTCCTCCTATGTCTTTTTTTCCCATTCCTTTGCACAGTTTTTTGTCAAAAAAATGGTAGTTTGGTAGTTAGACATGGAGTTTAATCTGATTTTTTGTTCTATTATTTAAAGGCAGTTTCATAGGTTGTTTGTTTTTGTGTTGTTAGTAGGCATTGATGATTAATGCCTAGAATTACTAGCCATTCACAGGAAGTTTCAAAATGAAAATAATCTAACTTTGTTATTCCTTTTTTTTATTTATCTTGAAATATCAATACTTGCATAAAGAGAAACTTCCTTTAATGTGCTATCATGTCATCCTTTGGACATACAGTTTGTATAATGGAGGCAGAAAAAACGTTGGAAATTTTTTGTATTTTAAAATTAAATTTTAAAGTTAATTGGTTCTCAAGTAGTCTATAATCTAGACCTCTTAGTTTCTTTAATAAATATAAGTTCATGATTTAAAAATATTTCTTATGTTTCTGTCATAATCATTGTTTATTGATGCTGATATTATGCTGTTTGTAGTCAGTAAGATGCTTTCTTTTTAGATTGTTTTGGTTTTGATTTTTGTGAAATACACAACGTCTTCTTTAGGTTTTAGTATGATAGGTGTTGCACACTGTATATATTTCCTGCCTGGGATCTGGAATCAGCCATTTTACTTGGTGTTTTAAGGGCACAGTTAAATGCTCTATATTATGTTTGCTTATTTTTAATACCTTTTTTCATTTCTCCACCTGTCACACGTGATTCTTATCTAGGCCTTGTAGGTGACTTAGTTATTGTTTTAGTTTGTGCTTTTCCTGGGAAGTTGCATTGATTTTGAATGGTCTGCCCCACCCCTGTCTTTCCAAGATGCCCTATTATTTTCAGTTTTTGGTTTTGCATAATATGAGGATATTTAGTAAAAAACAAATTGTATATAGCCTGTAGTTTGGAAAGGATGACAAATGTGTAGTGATGACATGTTATTTGTCATGGAATGAGCTTTAAATTCAGACATAAAATATTGCTGACTCTAGTGCTTTAGTTATATTTAATGGGAAACTCTTATTTATGTTTTGAGGACACTAGTGAATTGATTTAAAAAATAATTTCATGGTTTTAAATTCTCTTCGTTTTAATTCTTAGTAAACATTTGCTATTTCTGAGTAAAAATTTCCCCTTTGTCTTTCCACGTAGCATCAATAACCAGCTTTCTCACGGTGTTAGCTTGGTATCCCAATACTTTGCTCCGGACATGGTGCCTTGTGCTTCATAGTCTAACTCTCATGACAAACATGCAGCTTAACCGTAAGTCAGACATTCCTTTATATCTCTGACATACACTTTATTTTTCTTACTATCAGGTTCTTAAAAAGATGTTTCCAAGAAGTGAAATAGTTGTGAAAATGATTGAATTTCTTATTTGAATATGTCTCTGTTAGACTTGTTCTTAATATGTCTTGTCCTTTTTGCTTCTTTACTTTGATTATATACTCCCATGTAGCTATAATTACAAGTTTGAATTATATTTTTACCTTCTAAAAGCTTTTAGTTTTAAAAATTGATTACTTTTAGAGTACAAAATCAAGTTTTTAATGTTAGCCTGTGTCTTGTGCTGGTTATTGATTCTTTTTAAAGTAATTTAGCACTTAAAAATGGTTTATTCATTCATATATTCATGAACATGTATGACTAGATACCTCAGTTTGTGTTTTTCACATCTAAAATCTGTTTTTATGGAACCTACTTGTTTCTTCTCAGATTCCAAACTCCTAATAGTTTCCTACTTTCTTTATCCCACTTCTTTATTTCCTGTTTAAGATAGTAGAATTAATTTTTGAAACTTTTAAGAATGAAACTTCCCTGGTAGCTCAGACAGTAAAAAATCTGCCTGAAATTCAGGAGACCCAATTTAATCCCTATGTCAGGAAGATCCCCTGGAAAAGGGAATGACTACCCACTCCAGTATTCTTGCTGGGAAAATCCCATGGACAGAGAAGCCTGGCGGGCCACAGTCCATGGGTTCGCAAAGACTCCCAACACGCTAAACCACTAAGACTTTCACTTTCCATATGATACTGATGATAGATTTGACTCGAGTATTTTGTTCACTTCAAAAAGCTGTTGTATTGTCAGTATATATCTTAACAGTATACAGTCTTTATGTAGCTGACATGCTGAAATGAATAAATTTTACCTCAGTTTATTTTCAAAAGCTGGGTTAAACTTTATCTGAAAAATAGATCTTTATTTCTAGAAGGGGACAGTGATTACTTAGTAAAAAGGACTTACCAAAAGGACACTAAGCATTTAGTTATTTCTTTTCAACTTGTCTGTATACTGAATAAGATAAACATTAAACTAGGTATTTTTCACTTCCAGAAAGGAGGCAAGAAATCTGTGGTAGAGGAAAATAGGGAGTGAGGCTCAGTCAGTACAGTAGAGATTTAGATTGTTTTTAGTAACTGCCAGGAGTCTATGAGTTTTCTTTGAAACCAAGAGATGTTTTGAATACTGCAGTTCCATTGTCTCAGACTATTTCTTGAGCACTTTTTTTTTTTAATGCCTTACAGCTGGTTCCAGTAGTACCATTGGAACTCAGGAGAGTACTGCCCATCTGCTGGTTTCAGATGCAAACCTGCTTCATGTGTTAGTGAAGTTTCTTTCTGGCACGAGTCCACATGGAACAAGCCAGCACAGCCCACAGGTATGTGAGCTTGAAAGCCAGAGATGGGCTTAGGCTATATGGTAACTCACTTGTAAAAGAAATCTTAAGTGTGCCTAAATATGTGAAGTTTTTACTGCTAAGGTATTAAATGATGACTTTTATGTATAAATGTAATAAAATGTTTTAAAGTTTTTATAATAATAATAGCTGTACTGAAACAATATAGCAGGTAGTAAATTTTCTCTTGGAATTACTTGATTTTTATGCAAAGATGCATTTTTGGTGTTATATTGTATTATTTGTGAAACCTTCTAAACAAATACCTAAATGTTAGGAAATAATTTCAAAACTTTGGGAGTTTAAAAATATTTTTAAAATAATGTATTGTGTTTAATGACCTCTATAATCAAGATTTGAGAAGTCACCTAATTCTTTTATAATATTAAATATTTTGTTCAACAAAAAACAAAATGTTGACATGGGTGGACCTAAACAGTATTATGCTAAGTGCAGTAAAACAGAGAAAGACAATTGCTTTGAGTTTACTTATATGTTGAATCCCAAAAAAACGTAACAAATGAACAAAGGTAATAAAAGTGAATAGAGTCACAGATACAGGGAACAAACAGGTGGTTGCCTGAATGGGGGATTGGGGTCGGGGGGTGAGAAAGATGAGAGAAATAGGTGAGGGAAATTGAGAGCTACAAATTTCCAGGTACAAAATAAATGAATCACCAGTATAAAATCTACTGCGTGGGGCATATTGTCAATAATAATGCAATATCTTTATGATGACAGATGGTAACTGGACTTACTGTGGTGATCATTTTGAAATGTATAGAAATATCAAATCACTGTTGTACACCAGGACCTAAATAGTGTTGTAGGTGAATTTCACTTCAAAGGCAGACTCATAGAAAAAGAGATCAGAGGTGGGGGTTGGGGGAACTGGATGAAGGTAACCAGAAGGCAAAATCTTCCAGTTATAAGACAAGTAAGTACTAGGGATATAACGTACAGCAAGATAAATGTAATTTACATTTCTGTATATTATATATGAAAGTTTACTGAGAGAGTAAATCTTGAGATTTATATAGAAAAAAATTTTTTCTTTTAATTTGTATCTATATGGGATGGATGTTCTCTAAACTTACTGTGGTAATCATTTCATTGTGTCTATAAGTCAAATTGTTATTCTGTACACTTCAAACTTACAGGCCTATGTGTCATTTATATCTCAAACCTGAAAGGAAAAAGATAAATACTGCTTTTGTTAATTCAGAAAAAAAGATACATCAGAACTTACAAGCTTTTTTAGTCTAACCATAGATATTTCTTTTATATCAATTTAAGCTTTTGTTATACTGCTTTAAAAATTTTTCCTTCATTATATTTCTTTTCAAAAAAATGTATTCACTGTTCATAGTATCTTTCTAATAGACATTATTCATAATTGTCTTGCAAGGTTATCTTTTATTTCTTAGCTATGTGCTTATCTATGTGTAAGATCTGTGTACTGTTCTGGGTGCTAGAGATTTATGTAGTTAACGAGACTCTGCCATTCTTGGAGCTTAAATTCTGTTGGATGCATTTAGTCAGTACTGTCATACTACAGAATAGACTTAAATTTTGTAGATCATCATAAAATAAACAAAAGAAAAAGATTAAAAAAAAAAGAGACTATTTGTAGTTTGCTTGGCCCAGAGTTTTGATGGGCAGGGGGCAGAGGCATGTTATCAAGTGATTATTATACATAAAGATTGCATGAATTTGGAATGTGAGGATTCCTGAAATCACTGATTCTAGCTTCTTTATTTTACATATGAGAAAACATGCATTATCTGCATTGCCCACAATTATACAGCTAGTTCATGGTAGAGCCTACGTGTCAGGGAGCATACCACGGTATAAAATAGTGTGTTTCTTCTCCCCCCATTATTTTTTTTTTCTAAGGCAGAATGAAAGTTATTGAAGATCAAGCTTTCCCCAGATATTTTGGTTTATAATAGTTAGTTTGGCTATGAATGTTAAGATTTTTATGCTCAGAATTAGAAAGGAAGTTTGTCTAAAATGGTTTTGAGAATTACATTGCATTTTGTTTTTCCAAAACTCCTGTAGGGTTTATGATCATAACATTCCAGCACATAGTTCAGGGTAATTGGTGTAGCTCTCACTATTGTTTTTTTTTTAATTGAAGAGATAGAAGTTTGGAAAGCTTTTTTTTTTCTTTTTGCAGTTTGCTACAGGTTTATTTTTAGCCCTATGCTTTTTGTTTGGAGAGTTTTTTCCCTCCATTCATTTTAGTATTTGCTCTTGTAGTCATTAGAAGCATGACCTATTGTGGATCACTTAGCCTGTCTGTTGAAATGGGATGATTAAGATTGTGAAAAATCACAGTTTTTTTGTGCTTTTGACAGCATTATAGAGATGTTTTTTGTGTAACTTAGGTGAGTCTTTTTCTGTATTGAATTAAATAAGTCTGACATAATGGAAAAATATTGACCATAGAATCTATAATTTTCAATTTAAAATATGTCAAGACCTAAAAGCTTAGTTGGTTTCGTGCTATCACTGTTAATATTTTTGTTTTTCAAATGAGAAGTTTCAACCATGTGGCTCTTTAACACTTGATACTTTTAAATGAATAATTCAGGAAATGGAATCAGTGAGCAGTTTTCAGTAGAATTACGTTTTTCTTCAGGTTGGTCCAACAGCTACGCAAGCTATGCAAGAATTTCTTACCCGATTGCAAGTGCATCTGTCTTCAACGTGTCCTCAGATATTCAGTGAATTTTTGCTCAAGCTAATTCATATACTTTCAACAGAAAGGTAAATTTCAATGTCGTTAACATATATTCCTGATGTATTGATAGAAGCAATAGGTAATCCTCCAAATAAATTTTCTCTTATCATTTGTTCTGAGTTTATCTGGGGATGGACAAGCAGGATGATACCAAGAATTAAGAGGGAAAGATTTATTGATATGTTTCCTGATTGTTTTCTTTTCATTATGGCTCTCCCAAATCCTAAGCTTCTTCTGTTGTTAATGGAATAATGGGTTCATAGATTAGTAGTTACAAACCTTCTATGTGAAATTTACTTGAAGCTCTTTAAATTATTCTAGAATAAAGGTAAGGAATTAAAGCTACCAGTAATTTTATTTGAAACCTACTTGACAAAGATATCTTAAAAAAGAAAAATATTAATATTGTATTGAAATCCTAAATAAAATTTATTACCAAAGTCAGGCAATAGGTTAAAAAGAATAAACTGTGACCATAATGGGTTGATTCTTAAAACACATGAATACTTCAATATCATATACTATATATCATATTAACGAATCATTTCATCATACTATGAGATATTTCATAAAAGCTGACATTGCTTTCTGAGAAAAACTTTTAATGAAATATTAACTATCATCTTACTTAAAATTATGGGGGAAAAAACCATTATGAACAAACCAGATTCTATTATGTTTACTTAAAAAGTTCCCATTGATATCAGGAAGAAGTTAAAAATGCTGTTTCTATCTTTAACTTCATTGTGGAAGTGCCAGTGAAGTTTTAAAATATTTTGATGTATATTTGAAAATGATTAAAATAACTTGGAGATTACATCACTCTCTAACAATTAGTTTCACAGTATTGGGTGTCAGAAAAAGGTATGGTTTGTAATAGCATAAAATAATTAATAAAATAAAATATTAAAAATTAATAATTGTTTTAAAATGGCATACATTAATAATTTATTCATAATAATAGTTATTTTTAATAGATCCATAGCAAAATGCCTTCAACCTAATATAAGAATTAATGCAAAAAATTTATATGGAGATATGTTTTCATAGTGGCAGAAAATTTTATCTCAGAGTACTATCCTCATTTGTGTTTTCTTTCTCCTTTATAGCTATTTTAAAATACTAATCTGGTTGTAGTTCAACTTGTTCATAGTTTATGTACAGTGATGAAGCATAAGTGTGGAAAGGAGTAGATTCACAAAACCAAAAATGTGATGTTATGATATGCATACATGTCGTTAGAAAACGTGAATTTGAAGTTTTGTTGTATGATTTCACTACAACTTCAGGAGTTCTCACAGTCCCCCTTCTGGCTCAGTAATTTGCTAGAAAGACTCACAGAACTCAGGAAAAACATGTTACTTACATTTTACAGTTTACATAAAGTATAAAACTCAGGAACAGCCCGATAGAATAGAAGCACAGGGCAGGGCATGTGTGGGGGATGTTGAAGGGAGGGTGCCTGTGAGTGAATGTGAATTCTCAGGGCTCAGTGTTGCCACGCTTACACACCTGGAATAGCAGTGTGTTAAATATTTAGCTGAATTCTTCTTACACTTATGCATGTTGCTAGCATCTTGACTTCCCAAGTTCTGCCACAGGAAAGCCAATGCTCATATTCCACCTATGAGCTATCTTTGCATGGATTTCAGTCTTTTTGGTACCGTCAGCTCTCTGATGGGTTCAAGAAAAGCTTTGACCTTAGCTCTCTGGTGGGTTCAAGAAAAGTTATGACTTTAGAGTTAATTTGGCTTTTTAAAAAATTGTTAAGTTGGGGGTACAATGATCTTTCCACTTTCTATGTCTTAAGCATAAGCAGAACTTAAGAGCATTCAGTTTGATGTGTAAGAATGAACTGGTTGAATCCTAATTTATGAAAATCAAGATTAGTAAGAAATGTTTAACAACATTTGAGGTTCTAACAATACAGAGCTCATTCATTATGAGGAGTGCCTTGTGATATATAATTATTTTAGTCTGTGGCTTCAAAATCACCTCTTTGATTTGCTTTTTCTTCAGTTTTCTATTTGGAAAGAAATTTATTTTTTATTTTATGTGATAAAATGGAGGTAACAACAAGAAGGATGCAGGAAGAGTGGCAAACTCTGCTGCAAAGTGAAATAGTGAATACCAGGAGTTTAATTATTGTTTAGCTTTCTTGTATTCTGGTGGTTACCTCTTTCAAAACAATTTAAAATGGATTAATGTTTAATCCTCTTGCTTTTTCTGCAGGGGTGCCTTCCAGACAGGCCAAGGACCTCTTGATGCCCAAGTAAAGCTTTTAGAATTCACTTTGGAGCAGAATTTTGAAGTTGTTTCCGTTAGTACTATTTCTGCTGTGATAGAGTCTGTCACTTTTTTAGTGCACCACTATATCACTTGCTCAGACAAAGTCATGTCTCGAAGTGGATCAGATAGCTCAGTGGGTGCTCGAGCATGCTTTGGGGGACTCTTTGCCAACCTCATTCGTCCAGGTGATGCAAAAGCAGTTTGTGGTGAAATGACAAGAGATCAACTCATGTTTGATTTGCTAAAACTGGTTAACATTTTAGTTCAGCTGCCTCTTTCGGGTAATAGGGAGTACAGTGCAAGAGTGCCTGTGACCACCAATACGACAGACAGTGTTTCAGATGAAGAGAAAGTTTCAGGAGGCAAAGACGGCAGTGGAAGCTCTAGCAGCATTCAAGGACCACCTGCGTCTGTCGCCGACTTAGTGTTGGCCAACCAGCAGATCATGAGCCAGATTCTGTCTGCTCTGGGCCTGTGCAATAGCAGTGCCATGGCGATGATAATCGGTACGTATCGAGAATATAACCTTAAACCTGCTTCTAGTGCTGTATCTCTTTCCTTTAGCAATGTATGAATTCATTTTCTTTTTGCTGTACAATACAGTGTTACTTTATTGTAAACATCTTAGCCTGACTGATTGTTATTAGTTAAAATCTTCTGTAGAGTGGCATACATCAGTTGAAAATTTTTAAGTGTGAATTTTTTTAAAATTGGAAAATACTAACAAAATAACTTGTATGGAATTAAATTAAGAAAAGGAAGCAGTTTTGTAAGCTGAGCACCATAATTTATAGTCATATATCTCTAACATTTTAAAGATGAAGAATTAGACTTCAAATTTCATATTAGGGAGTGAGTAAATTTTATTTACTTATAGTTTCTTATAATGTGAAGTATAAATTTTTGTTCATGTTTTAACAGTTTCAGTGACACATCGATGTGTAAAATTTACATATTGTTTCTTTTCTACTTCTTTGAAAGCTAATATGTTAATTATTTTAAACGAATTAAGCTTCAGTAAGTTGTGATAAAATCCATTCCTGATGTAATTTTGTTTATTAGTATTTCTTCCTTCATGTGAGGAAAAAAAACTGTTGTCTTTTTGATTAAAAGTTTTAAAGTATAGTTGCATAATAGTATCAGTTATTTTTCTCTGCTTTTCTTCTTGATATGTATAATGCGTTCCTCAGTTGTGTGATATATTGTTACAAACAACAGAGGTATCTTCTATAAAAAGATAACCAAAAATCATTCTCTACTGAATGTTATGTTAGGTATTTTAATTTCTAGACATGTGTATGTGTATAGACACACAACATGGGAACACACACAGCTGTTTTGCATGCATCCTTCAGTGGTTTGAGGGAAAAAGTGGCTTGTAAGACTCTCTATTTTAATTATTATTGGTTTTTAAGGATTTGCTTTTTTAAAAATGTGTAAACTTTTTATTTAAACTAGGGGCAAGTGGATTACATCTCACTAAACATGAAAACTTTCATGGTGGGTTAGATGCCATATCAGTTGGGGATGGACTGTTTACCATACTGACAACTCTTAGTAAAAAAGCATCTACAGTTCATATGATGCTGCAGCCAATTTTAACCTACATGGCCTGTGGATATATGGGCAGACAGGTAAGTTCAATCCAGCAACAATTGCAATGATTTAAGTAGTTAATAGCAAGGGGAGCAGAGAATTATCTGTAAGATAAAGACAAATACAGTATTCTAGTTATATATTGGAAAATGAACAGAATCAGCAGATGAGAACCATAGATTAATAATACAAATTGAAAAGAAAAGTTTCCTTGAAACTGTCAAAGTTAACTATAGTGATGTAAGAGTAAAATGTTTTTAAATTTTAAGATTTTCTTTCCATTGTCTTAGGAAGTAGTTCTTTCCTTTTCCCTAGAAATAGTATAGTTGAATAGCAACATGTTCTACATAGAAGTATATATGAAAGTTTAATGTGAGTGTTTTTTTCAGGCTTAAGTTGCATATTTAGTTTCCTTTCAGTTAAAAGGGGTTAGAGTAATTTTAAAAGAGAAATAGGTTAGAATGTTATTACTTTTTAAATTTCCTTTTTAAAAAATGAGATTTTAGGAGCAAGTGTGATTAATTTACCTTCTAGTCCATTTACTATTTTCTTCCAAAAGCGGGTTTTAAAATATAATTTCTTAAGGAGTCTTTTATGTGTCATTGTATAATTATCATTTTCATAAATATATATTGAATCTGTATATATATTTCCCCATTAGAAGATATAGAGATAAATATTTGAGAAGGCTACATTTTTAAAGGAAAGTACTGTCTAGTGGAAAAGGAAATCAGTGCACATTAAGGTAGAAAATGATAATACTAGGTAAAGCCAGACACAAAAAGTGCTGAGTTCAGAGAAGAGACTGTTCACTTACCTTCTGACACAGGCAAGAGTTTTAAAATATTTTGGCAGACATTTTATATTAAGTGATTTAGGTTAAGGTTACCATTTTATAATAATTAACTATAAAAGAATGTTATATTCAGTGAAACTTATTTGTCCTAATTAATAGGAAATTAATAATCACCTTTTAAAAATCACAGCATACATGTATGGTTTTTTTTTTTAGGGCTCTCTTGCTACTTGCCAGTTATCTGAACCATTATTGTGGTTTATTCTGAGAGTACTGGATACTAGTGATGCCTTGAAAGCATTCCATGATATGGGTAAGGCAAAATTTCCAAAACTGCCATTTAAATGTAATCGTTAAGTAGTACAGTATGTTCTTAATTTGGTAGTCTTCTGTGAGAGTTGACTCGGTGTCAAATCATCTGTGTTAAGATAATTTTCATTTAGTATTCTTTATAAATTTAGGTGGTGTTCAGCTCATTTGCAACAATATGGTTACTAGTACAAGGGCTATTGTAAACACTGCGAGAAGTATGGTATCAACTATTATGAAATTTCTTGACTCTGGTCCGAATAAAGCTGTTGACAGCACATTGAAAACAAGAATCCTAGCTTCTGAGCCTGACAATGCAGAAGGGATCCATAACTTTGCACCCCTGGGTAAGAAAACAGTTATTTCATCTTATGGGTGTGTATTTAAATAATAGTTAATTGGCTGGTATGAAGCAAAAGTAGTTGTCAAAATAAATTGATTGTGTTATAATATCACCATTTTAATTACAAACCATTGATTTTAAAGGCACTAGTTTTCCAAACCGTCTACTGATTAGAAGGAAGTTTTTAATTGTTCTTTAATAGGAAAATTTGTTTTTATTTCTGAGTTTAAATAGACATAATTTGTGAAACTAAGTAGTATAGATTCTTATGTCAGTTTTCAGTATAAATGTTTGTTTTAAAAAGCTTGTTCCTTCTTATTTTGAGTGATTTTTTTAAAGAAGTTTAAAATTTGTATAGTTATTCATTTTTCCAGTCTACATAGTTTCTTTTTGTATTTTTCTTTGCATATTTGTAACTCACAAACATTGACAATTTAGAATAAAGATTATTTTCAAGTTTATTTTTTATTATCAAGTATATTTTATTTTCAAGGCTGTATTCAACATTGCTTTTTGTTTAAATCATTTGAGAATTACTGTGCTCACTTTGTTGTCACTTGTTTAGTATTCATTTGGCATGTTAGTATATAAAAATTAGGCAGCAATATACACCATGGAATATTACTCAGCCATTAAAAAGAATTCATTTGAATCAGTTCTAATGAGATGGATGAAACTGGAGCCCATTATACAGAGTGAAGTAAGCCAGAAAGATAAAGAACATTACAGCATACTAACACAGTAATGTATGGAATTTAGAAAGATGGTAATGATAACCCTATATGCAAAACAGAAAAAAAGACACAGATGTACAGAACAGACTTTTGGATTCTGTGGGAGAAGTCAAGGGTGGGATGTTTCAAGAGAACAGCATCGAAACATGTGTATTATCTATAGTGAAACAGATCACCAGCCCAGGTTGGACGCATGAGACAAGTGCTCAGGCCTGGTGCACTGGGAAGACCCAGAGGGATCGGGTAGAGAGGGAGGTGGGAGGGGGGATCGGGATGGGGAACACAGGTAAATCCATGGCTGATTCATGTCAATGTATGACAAAAACCACTACAATATTGTAAAGTAATTAGCCTCCAACTAATAAAAATAAATGAAAAAAAAAATTAGGCAGCAGTTAACACTGAACTTGTCACCTTGCCAGTTGACTGGATGTCCTGATTATTTGTGAATATTGTGACAAGTTATGCTAAGTATATTAAGTGCATTCATAATATTAAATGTTCATGTTTTTAGCTAGTTTCTCTAGTATAATTATTGTGATTTGAATAGTTCTTGATGTTTTATTAGGTTTCTTTTGCAAGTTTTTATTTTATTTGAAATACTTCTGTAGGTACAATCACATCTAGCAGTCCCACTGCCCAACCAGCTGAGGTGCTTTTGCAGGCCACGCCCCCTCATAGAAGAGCTCGCTCTGCTGCTTGGTCCTACATCTTTCTGCCCGAGGAGGCTTGGTGCGACCTCACCATTCACCTTCCTGCAGCAGTGCTCCTTAAAGAGATACATATCCAACCTCACCTGGCATCTCTTGCAAGTGAGTAATAATTTGTTTAAAGATTCATCATGAAAATAAATTGTAACATATAGAAACATTTACAAAATAAGAAATATACTTAGCAAACAGTGAAAACACTTAGATAAAATTTCCAGATTGCTTAATTTTGAACAGTTTAATATAATATTTAATATTACCACCACATCATTTACCATCAAATGAATTGGCATGACTATTCCCCTGAAAAAATAGAATGTCTGATGAAATTTAAGGAAACATATCCTAGGTGTATATTATTTTGTCTTCATCTTCCCCCAAATTTATGGCACTATAGTATTAAGATAAAATGAGTTAGTTTGCACAACTGTAGATAGCTTTCTTAGTTTTTCTAGTCTTCAGTCCTAGCTCTGTAATGTGAAATTAACATAGATTCCCTTCCCATTGTAAGATAATTACTTCTGCAAAGAATTTTTTATTGTAATATGTAGAGTGTGATATTTTGAATATTATGACCTTTGAATTTTTAATGTTTTGAGTATCATCCATTTGATGCATTTTCATTTAATACATTTTGTTGTAACTTTGCAAGGGAAATAATTAATTGTAAAAAATTAAAAAAATAAGTTATCCATTAAAAGAAGAAGGGGCTCTTTCAAGCATTCATGAAGAACTATGAAGTACTATTTTACATTTGTGATGGTCCCCAAATTCTTTCAGTATAAATATAAAGATTTATACAGAATTGTTGAAGTTTTGACAATCATTTATCTTCATTGATTGATTCTCATTGCTATCATATGTCACTCAATAATTTAATGAAGATCTATGGGAAATTTTGTAGACCACTGGCATATTTGGAAGAATAAATTTTTATACTTATTTGCAAGAGTAGATTATTATTATACCATAAAAGAGTTGTAGAGTCTATCCATACCAGATTAAAATAGATATAATGAATAAAATGACAGAAAAAAAGTAGATTAATGCAGTGTTTGGCAGGTCAAAAGTAAATATATTACATGGCAAACTATAAGTCAGTATAACCTCCAACAGTATAAGACTTAGGAGATAATCTAAGATGAGGAGGAAACTGCTTTTTTGGGAAGGAGAAAGGGGCTTTGAATTGTAAGTAGAATGTATACATAGTAATTTGGACAGGAAGGATGTTACAACGGAGGACTGTGCATTATGATAAATCAATAGATTACATGTTTTCTAACACAATTGTGCTTAATACTTCTGGTTTGAGATCAGAGCACAAACTAAAGGTATAGTGTATTCCTGTAGAAATAGCATGGCCTTTAGAATCAAAACATGGGCTTGAACATAAAATGTGCCCTTTATTTATGTGAGGGTTTGGATTATTTAATCTCTTTTTATCAGTTTGTATTGGTAGAGTCAAAGAGATTATATAATGTGGATAATACTTCCTTGAAAGGTTAAGATTAGATTTAAAAATTTTGTGACTTACCTAGTTCTCTGTGCAAACCAGGGGTATAATTGACATATAATAAAAGTTACTTCCTGATTTTATAGTTGACATTAAAATCAAGGTTCACAGGTTGTTTTAGTTGATAGATAAATTTATTAAATGTTCTTTCATGTTTGTGAGAAAGAATTTTCCCACAGCAACTGCCAGTTAATTACTTCGTTGTGTGTGTGTGTGCTCAGTCATGTCAGACTCTCTGTGACACCATGAACTGTAGCCTGCCGGGCTCCTCTGTTGATGAAATTACCCAGGCAAGAATGTTGGAGCAGGTTGCCATTTCCTACTCTAAGGGACCTTGACACCCAGGGATCTAACCAACATCTCCTGCATTGATAGGCAGATTCTTTACCACTGCAGCACCCGATTACTTCATTCAGTTCAGTTCAGTTCAGTCCAGTCGCTCAGTCGTGTCCGACTCTTTGCGACCCTGTGGACTGCAGCATGCCAGCCTTGCCTGTCCATCACCGACTCCTGGAGTTACTCAAACTCATGTCCATTGAGTCGGTGATGCCATCCAACCATCTCATCCTCTGTTGTCCCCTTCTCCTCCTGCCTTCAATCTTTCCCAGCATCGGGGTGTTTTCCAATGAGTCAGTTCTTTGCATTAGGTGGCCAAAGTATTGGAGTTTCAGCTTCAGCATCAGTCCTTCCAGTGAATATTCAGGACTGATCTCCTTTAGGATGGACTGGTTGAATCTCTTGCTAGTCCAAGGACTCTCAAGAGTCTTCTCCAACACCACAGTTCAAAAGCATCAATTCTTTGGCACTTAGCTTTCTTCATGGTCCAACTGTCACATCCATACATGACTACTGGAAAAACCATAGCTTTGACTAGATGGACGGCCCTTGGTTGGCAAGTAATGTCTCTGCTTTTTAGTATGCTATTTAGGTTGGTCATAACTTTTCTTCCAATGAGTATGCATCTTTTAATTTCATGGCTACAGTCACCATCTGCAGTGATTTTGGAGCCCCCAAAAAATAAAGTCTGCTACTCTTTCCATTCTTTCCCTATCTATGTGCCAAGGAGCGATGGGACCAGATTCCATGATCTTAGTTTTCTGAATGTTGAGTTTTAAGCCAACTTTTTCACTCTCCTCTTTCACTTTCATCAAGAGGCTCTTTAATTCTTCACTTTCTGCCATAAGTTGATGTCATCTGCATATCTGAGGTTATTGATATTTCTCCGGGTAATCTTGATTCCAGCTTGTGCTTCATCCAGCCTGGTATTTCTCATGATGTACTCTGCATATAAGTTAAATAAGCAGTGTGACAATATATAGCCTTGACGTATTCCTTTTCCTACTTGGAACCAGTCTGTTTCACGTCCAGTTTTAACTGCTGCTTCTTGAGCTGCATGCAGATTTCTCAGGAGGCAGGTCAGGTGGTCTGGTGTTCCCATCTCTTGAAGAATTTTCCACAGTTTGTTGTGATCCATAAATCAAAGGCTTTGGCATAGTCAGTAAAGCAGAAGTAGATGTTTTTCTGGAACTCTTGCTTTTTCGATTACTTCATTTGGCCTCCTTAAATTTTAGCAGGAAATTATTTTAAATATTCTGAATGTTTAAATTTCGAAAGGCAAAAAAGGATCAAAGGTGAAAACAATTTCTAAACTCAAATGTGTTTAAAATCATAGCAATATGATAGTAGTAAAATAATGAGTTTGTGAAAAGGTACTTTTAAAGTCACATTCTTCCTAAATTAGATACAGCTGTAAACCACAGCGTACTAATCAAATGCCCCATTTTGCTGGTGATAATTCTGAGAGTAGAAATAATAGAGTAATTGTCTGTTTTTGTTTTCTTTGAGAAAGTAAAGTATATGTGGATTGCATATCTCCAGTTACGCTGTTTTTTAGGTTAATGTTATAATTTTTTATGTACAATTTTTATCATACTCTAAATTTCATATAATAGCTCCAAAATCAATTATAATGGAAGTTAGTGACAAAGTATGACTTAGCATATACATATTCTTTTTATGACTTCATAATGAATATAACTGAAAGCTGACATTTTACTGTAGTTGCCATTAAAATATGAACTTGCATTTACTTTTTCTTTAGTAATTGTTCAATTTTCTCTTTCTGTAGCCTGCCCATCCTCAGTGTCTGTAGAAGTAAGTGCAGATGGAGTAAACATGCTACCATTGTCTACTCCTGTTGTCACAAGTGGTCTTACCTACATAAAAATTCAACTTGTGAAAGCTGAAGTAGCTTCCGCTGTCTGCCTTAGACTCCATCGTCCACGAGATGCCAGCACACTAGGCCTTTCACAGATCAAATTACTGGGCCTCACTGCTTTTGGTACCACTTCTTCAGCAACAGTTAATAATCCCTTTCTTCCATCTGAAGATCAGGTATCCAAAACAAGGTATGTAGTTCCTCATTCTTAAGGAAAACCTTTCTGTGCTTTTCATGAAATTTATTCTGTGGCTTCTTTGGTTTATTTTTTATTAGAGTTTAGAAAATTCTTTGTTCCATGGGTTTCTAAATAATATCATAATTTTTTAAGTGTAATAAAGAATAATTGCATTCTTTGTGTTTAATTCTCTAATTCGTTGTGTTTAATTCTTGAGATGATCTGTGATGTGCTTTATATGGGTGTGAGTTCTACTTCTTTGGGCTGTAGTCTTACGTAAGCATTTCCAAATGCTTATCCCCAAAAATATATCTGAATCAAACAAGTTGACCACACAGATAAGCACCTGGTCTGTTATCTAGTAATTTTTAAGTTGCCAGTCAGTAAAGGGTTTGATTTGAACCATACAAATTGATACAAACTGACCAAACAAAGAAGGACCTGAATGTGTCCTTTAATTTACATTCTTCTGATAAATTTGGATGGTTGAAAATTTTATAGATTGGTTTTATTGTACATTTTACCTGAGGAAAAAAATTGGGATTTCTTTTTTATTTTCAAGCTGCTAGGTCTTTTCAGTTTTGCAATTCTGTGATCCTGTGCCGTTTATATTTATGCATGTATGTATATACAAAACTATTTCCTGACTAAATAAAAAGCAAGTTCATAATTCCTAAATGCGACTTGTACTTAAGTATTTTTATTTTTTATGTTATAGGAGAAACTTACTGTGTGTTTAACTTTTATTGATGTTATAGTATTCTAAAAATATTCTTTTTTAAACATCGATTGGTGCTACTTACTTATGAAATACAACATGCTGGTTATTTTTTCTGCTTTATAAGGCACAAATTTTTTTTTACCATGTATCTCCTCCTTTTTTTTTTTTTTAAAGATTCTTTGCATGTAGTCCATTACAGAGCATTGAGTAGAGTTCCCTGTGCCAGCAGGTTCTTAGTAGTTATCTATTTCATATATAGTAGTGTCTGTATGTGAATCCCAGTCTTCCAGTTTATCCCTGGTAACATAAGTTTGTTTTCTATATCCATGCCTCTGTTCAGTTTTGTAAGTTCGTTCATTTGTGCCCTCCCCCCTCTTTTTAAAAACCGCATATAAGTGATACCATGTCATTTTGTCTTTCTGTGTATGACTTCATTCAGTAAGAGAATCTGTCTATGACAATCCATCCACTTGCTGATCTTGGAGAAATTTTGTTTGATCTTGGAAAAGTTTTTACTTCAGAAGTCTGAAGTAATTTAAACTACTTAAATTAACCCGTAAGCTGTTGTGTTTTGTGTTTCAGTATTGGATGGTTGCGGTTGTTACATCATTGCCTTACTCACATAAGTGATCTGGAAGGAATGATGGCAAGTGCAGCTGCACCTACTGCTAATTTGCTGCAGACTTGTGCTGCCTTACTGATGTCTCCGTACTGTGGAATGCATTCACCCAACATTGAGGTTGTGCTCGTAAAGATAGGACTTCAGTCCACTCGAATTGGCCTAAAGCTTATAGACATTCTCCTGAGAAATTGTGCAGCATCAGGCAGTGATCCTACAGGTGACAATTAATTTTGGTATTTGAATTTTTACGTTTCTGCAGAGAAATAATATTTGAACTCTGATGTTTGTAATTAATTCCGTTTCCAAAATTAAATTCCATATGGCTTCATTATTTTTGGAGTTTGACTTTTTTGTTGTTGTTGAATTTTATAGAAGTTAGGTTTAATGAATAATTTAAGATTAAACTGAGCGAATCTTTTAATCTCATTTGCTTATTTAGCAAATTTTTCCTTTTGATTCTCTTTTTTGCAAGATTTGAATAGCCCTTTACTTTTTGGAAGACTGAATGGACTGTCTTCTGACTCTACGATAGATATTCTTTACCAGCTTGGAACAACTCAGGATCCTGGAACAAAAGACAGGTATGTGGTGATCTCATTTTTCACATGAGAACATATATACACATAATCTCACGCACTGGATGTTACTAATAATGCTTTTTTTAAAAGATCTTTTTGTAAAAGTTAAGCTTAGGTATTACTAAACTTATAGAAATAACAGACTATTATGTCTATATTAGATACCTGGACTATTTTGATAATAGTAATGTTTTCACTGATCATTTATATTATCCATTGACATCTTTTCATTAGATTCTTTCCCTTCTTTCTCCTGCTTTCTACCACAAAGTGAAACACTGTCATACCAAGTAAATAATATTGATTATTTCACCTAAATGTTTACTGATCTTGCAGTATAGGTAATTGTAGGTAAGTTTTACTAACGTAGTTCTTCCTCGATGTCTTCTACCTCCAAATTCATAAGGACTCCAAGTATCTTTGAAACATCTTTTTGTTTGTATAAGTAATATGAATTATCTTTATGCTGGAGACTGTTTACTGAGTTAATATTCTTTTAAGTATGTTGAATATTTTATATTCAATTAAGATTCTTTACTTTTATTAATTTATATTTAAAGTGAAATCATTTGGTATGTTGTTAAACATCTTACTTCATGAATTATTAACAGATTATTAATTTTTTGGTGGGTTCTTACTCATTTTACAGCTGTTCACCGAGTAGGTGGTATATGTCTGGCATTGTGCTAACACTAGAGAGATCAAGTTTATTCAGTCCAACTTGGGCCCTCAGGAGGGAGACAGACAGTGTCCCTAATAAGGGGAGATTTATGTAGGTCAGACTGAAGGGTATGAATTAGAGTGCCTGGCAGTGAAGTCATCTCAGAAAAATTGTTACTTAATCCCTGATAATGTAATAGCTTTCATTAATTTTAGACTCATTGTGGTCATGTACTCTGGGTTAAAAATATTTAAAGAATATATTTAACAAAGTAAAATTAGTTTGTCAGATAACTTCAAAATATTGAATAGACTGACTTCCTTTCCATTAAACTTTTGCTTTATATAAACTGTATGATAACTATACTATATTTTAAAATATATTGGAGTATTTTTTGACAAAGTAAATAGTAATTTATGTCAAATTTGAATCATAATGATTAATAGGGTTAAAAATATGTGCTAAATATTTTTCTAGAATAGATTTCTTGCAGTCTTGTGGTTATTTTATTTTTAATTTTTTTATCATAAGAAGAAATTGCACTTAAAATTACTTTCTTAGCATAATGCAAATATAGCTATTTCAGAATATTTTAGAATTGATGTTAATGACAAGATTTTGGCTGCTGTTTTTCTAGGAAATGTTACTTTTCCCTAATTGCCTCATCTCCCTTCTTTTCCTATGAGTTTTCCTTATTTCTTGTCATATGAAATTTAAAGCATTTGATCCTTCAGTCCTTCAGGGTAGAGAGAGAGATTAAGTGGTATTATATACCTTCCAACTCCCATTTCTTTTAACCTTAAGCAAAGAATCTTGTGCTCTAGACATTTAGAAGTAAACAAAGATAAACAGTGTTTTAAGAACTTGAAAATAAATCTATCCCCCACCCCTTAAAAAACTAAGTTCAAAAGCATTATTGCTTTAAAAAGTCTTTTGCTTTCATTTTGTGGTCCCCAGCTGTAGGCAATGGAGTGTAGTAGGGTGGCACTTGGAAACGTATGTGCGTTGAGGCTGTTCGCTTGTCAGAGTGCAGGAGGGTGGGTGTCTGCTACTAGTATTTAATGCTTGGGGACCAGAGGATGTGAAACATGGCATATTGCATGAGATTCTGCACAATGAAGAGCTGACCCCCCCAATCACTGCTCTATGATATGTGGATTTATTATAAAAAGAGTAAAAATTTAGACTGTAAAATTAGTTTTTTTAAACTATCTATCCTGTAATTCTAGAGATTTATATGTTCTGCCATAAATGAGATAAGAATCAGTATCTATATGCTGATTAGATGAGTTATTGCAGATATTTTCATCACTTAAATAGGTATTATTGGAAAATTAGAATTACTTTGATGTTATTGATTGCATAATTCCTTTTCCCTCCTGTTTTAAATTAAAATTACTGAGAATAATCATATGTTATTCTCATATATACATTGCTTACATGCAGTGGCAGTATTTACCTGTATTAAATGTCATCTGTAGTATAATTGATTATTTGAATTCATCTTTTCTTAAGAATTCAGGCCTTGTTAAAATGGGTCAGTGATTCTGCAAGAGTGGCTGCTATGAAAAGAAGTGGCAGGATGAGTTACATGTGTCCTAACTCTTCATCAATAGAGTATGGTCTTTTGATGCCATCTCCTTCTCATTTGCACTGTGTAGCAGCAATTTTGTGGCACAGTTATGAACTGCTGGTAGAATATGATTTACCAGCACTGCTAGACCGGGAGCTCTTTGAGTAAGTATGATTTACGAAATTCTTTCTCTCCCCAGTATTAGATCACTTTAAGTTTTTACTTGATAAAACAGCATTTTTATATGCTTAGTTGTATAAAAATAATGAAAGTGCTAGATAAGTATAAATGATATCATTTTGAAATGAGATGCTACTCAAATTTAATCTTCATGTTTTAAGAAGCTGTATTAGTGTCATTGCTGCTTTTCCCACCTAAATTTGGATGTTCAGTGTATTCTGCAGTTCACATTGTTTATTCTCTTTTGTAAATTTACTCATCAGATTCTTTTATCTTTAATATACAACTTTGGAGGGAAAGTGTAACTAGAAATTTTAAAAGACTACTTTAGACAGTTCTTACAGTTGTTTGTTTCTCACTCTTTCTATACAGCCATGGTTGTTCTTTTGACTAGTAGTTTCCACTTAAACCACATTTCTTCACCATACACAGTTAAGGCTTTATTGAGCTGACTGCCTAATAACTTTAAGTCTATGGCAAAATATAATATTTATTTCTGAAGAGTTCCATGACTCATAAAAGGTCGGTCTTTTGTTCTCTAGTTTGCCATTTTCATATTTGCTTCTTTTATTTGGCATAATCATGACTTATTAGTGAAGCTCACTAATAGTTTTCATTTTGCAGACATGAATTAAAGCCATTAATCATGTCAAATTCAGTCTAAACATTTCTTTGCTATACCTTTTTCATTATTTTCTGTATGTCATTTCTTTTTTTAGGTCACACAGAGAATGGTAGAAACATTTTGATATAGATCTCTTAGTTTTCTGTGTTCATCTTGCAAGTCTTACTTTAGCCTACTGAAGTACTTAATGATGTTTATCAGAACCAGTCTTGCTGAGACATTATAATGTCATAATACATGTTAGACTGTGTAATTTTCATCAGAGTGATTTCTAGTAGAAATAATGGTCAGTGAGGTCTTTCTAAAAATAAGTGTATTTTTTTTAACATGATATCTTTTATTCCCTAGGTTACTTTTTAATTGGTCCATGTCTCTTCCCTGCAATATGGTTTTGAAGAAAGCTGTGGACAGTCTGCTTTGCTCAATGTGTCACATACACCCAAGTTATTTTTCTTTGCTCATGGGCTGGATGGGCATTACCCCTCCCCCAGTGCAGTGTCACCATGGACTGTCCATGACCGATGATAGCAAAAAGCAAGATCTCAGTTCATCTTTAACAGACGACTCTAAAAATGCACAAGCACCTCTTGCCCTAACTGAATCACATTTGGCAACCCTTGCTTCCTCTTCTCAATCTCCAGAAGCTATCAAACAATTATTGGACTCAGGTTTGCCTTCTCTTCTTGTGAGGAGTCTGGCTGGTTTTTGTTTTAACCACATTTCCTACTCTGAAAGCATTGCTCAATCAGTAGATAGTTCCCAGGACAAACTGAGGCGACCCCACGTCCCACAGCAGTGTAATAAGATGCCTGTCACAGCAGACCTGGTTGCTCCTATTCTTAGGTTTTTGACAGAAGTTGGCAATAGCCATATCATGAAAGACTGGCTGGGTGGGTCTGAAGTCAATCCACTGTGGACAGCACTTCTGTTTTTATTGTGTCACTCTGGCTCCGCCTCTGGAGGACACAGCCTCAGTGCCCAGCAGGCCAGTGCGAGGTCAGCTTCCCTCTCCTCAGCTGCCTCAGCGGGGCTGACCACCCAGCAGAGAACGGCGATCGAGAATGCGACTGTTGCCTTCTTCCTGCAGTGCATCTCATGTCACCCCAGCAATCAGAGGCTGATGGCCCAGGTGAGAGTCGAGACACTGACTCAGGTGTCTCACCGTCTCAACGTGCTGTCACATGACACTCTTGAAATTAGTTCAGAAAGTGGCATGTAGGAGGGCCAGGTGATGATGAAGTTTCTGGTTGGTGCATTTAAGGGTTTGAATTTAAACCATAATTAAAACTAAGTACTGATATCTCTTCCCTCCTCTCTTCACTTGTTAACATAAGTCAGTTATTCTTTTTGATGGATGATGGACAAATTCTTCCAAGATTCTAGCTAAAGAAATCCTCTTTTTAAAAAATCTACCCCCAATATGATGCTTCAGCTCTTGGAACAAGATTGACCACTTAAACGTGGCCATTGAAGGGCTCATCTGCATCAAGACATTACATATTGTAGTAACTGGATTGTTAAAAGCTGTTGGGTTGCTTCTAAGGCCGCTGCTGCTGCAAAGTCGCTTCAGTCATCTCCGACTGTGTGCGACCCCATAGACGGCAGCCCACCAGACTCCGCCGTCCCTGGGATTCTCCAGGCAAGAACACTGGAGTGGGTTGCCATTGCCTCCTCCAATGCATGAAAGTGAGAAGTGAAAGTGAAGTCGCTCAGTTGTGTCTGACTTAGTGACCCCATGGACTGCAGCCTACCAGGCTCCTCCGTTCATGGGATTTTCTAGGCAAGAGGACTGGAGTGGTGTCCATGGGATTTTCCAGGCAAGAATACTGGAGTGGGTTGCCATTTCCTTCTCCAGGGGATCTTCCCAACCCAGGGATCGAACCCGGGTCTCCTGCGTTGTAGGCAGACGCTTTACCGTCTGAGCTACCAGTACTTATTCAGTTAAACTATTAATATATAAAAGGATGAGCTATTACAGTTTTAAAAAATTACTGAATGACTTAACTTTTAGAAGAGGAAGATACTTTATTGCCTCAACTATGTTATTGGGAAACTATCTACTTAATGTGCCTAGTTTGAAAAAAATGCTTAACTTACCAATTTTAACGAAGTCCTTAAATATGAGTATTTGAAAATTTGGTTTCTGCCTGTGGGTAGAGTGAAACTTTCTGTTTCATTGTCTTCTGTCCTGGTTATCCTCTCTTAGTTTCTTCTTAAGGCTTTATTTTATATTTTTAATACTTTTTTTTTCAGAATTTTTATTGTATGGTAACCACATTCAGATTTTGATTGAAGTTAAAATTAAGTTGGTTTTGCCAGGTATTTTAGGAAAACCCTGTACTAGTAACTTCTCTTATCCACAGAAATTTCTGATTCACTTTTAACTTCATGTCTACTTCTTATTCATTTAAGATGGAATAATATATGCTTTAATTGCTAATTTGATGAATTGAAACATACTTATTAATCCACATTTTAAATTTCCTCTTTATTCTTTAAAGTAAAAAGCTGGAAGTACCACTTTTGACTTTTTAAATCTCTCACTTTGCCAGGTTCTCTGTGAACTGTTTCAGACATCTCCTCAAAGAGGGAACCTTCCAACATCAGGCAATATTTCAGGGTTTGTACGTAGATTATTCTTGCAGTTGATGCTGGAGGATGAGAAAGTGACAATGTTTCTTCAGTCTCCCTGTCCAGTGAGTATTTAACAATTAAATTAAATCTTAATGATGAACTGTGTGTAAAGATATTTTATGTTTTCATATCAGAGCTTATAGTTATCTCTGTTCTAATTTCTAATACAGCAGAATGAAATTATCATAGCTTTTATACTTAATGATAGAACTTAGAAATCTCCACTAACTCTGTCTGGAATAACCTAGTTGTAAATTGCCATGAATAGTATAATTTGATTTGGGAGGAAAAGTGACAGATTGTTGGGTACAACAGTGCTAATGCAAAATTTGATCAACAAATCACATGACAGACATGCCATATTTGAAGAAATACAGAAAATAAACTCGTATATTTTTGTATGCATTATTGAATTTTTATTCTTTTATGCTTTTGAAATTGTTATATAATGAAATATATTTCAAAAAATCTCTTCTTCATTTCTTGATTTCCAGCTGTACAAGGGGAGAATTAATGCTACTAGCCACGTCATCCAGCATCCAATGTATGGAGCAGGCCACAAGTTCCGAACACTTCATTTGCCAGTCTCAACAACATTATCAGAAGTTCTGGACAGAGTGTCAGGCAAGTCAGATTTAAATATTTATTTTTCTTTAACTTTGTTATATGTATATAGGAATTTTACCATTTTTATAATTTTATTATATTCACTGAGAAACTATTTAATGACATGAAATGGTCAAGATGGTTTCACATTTCACAACATGATGCAGTGTACAAAATGTATAATACATTCCAGCACCTGTAATTCTTTTGTTGTTATATGTATTATGTTTAGTAGTGGCAGAACTGGCAGCTGGAAATGGCAACAAGCTGTGGGAAGCTATTGATGGAATTTTCTCGAGATAAACCATAAGGCTATATTATAGTAGATGAATTTGCACAGTATATTAGGTTGAATGACAGCATTCTAAGTAGTAAGCATTTACTAAATCTAGGAGATAAATGAATGGTCAGTAGGTAGAATCGGCTGGTGACTTTATAACAGTGAGGAAGACGGAACTTTTCCTGTAGATTTCTTGTCGATTTCAAGAGCTCTCAGTTGATGCCTTTAAATAGAATATAAGTTTCTGAAGTAAAAGCATTTTGAAGGTAGAATGCCAGTTGACTATGGTGAGTTTCTTTTTTTGCCTTTCTGAAATCCTAGTCAGTGATGAATTCATTGAGTATCTGCTATGTGTAAGCACAGTAATTTCTTCTAGGGTTGTAAAAGTGAGCAGGACACATACTCTGCCTCTCAGAGTATTTATGATATTTTATATCTTGTCAGAATAAAAAACAAACTGAAAATTTAAATGTTTGCAATTTAAATATAAGTCAGTGTGTTTCTAAGTCTTTGAGCAACACTGTTAACTGAAAGAAGTTAGGAGTTCCCAAAAAACTGGCGTTATCTATTTATTAGTTGGACATATTAATCCAAATTTGAAATAAAAGACTGAGTTGAAGAGATTGGGGAATTGTTACCATACATATTTGGGCTTCCGTGGTAGCTCAGCTGGTAAAGAATCCGCCTGCAATGCAGGAGACCCTGGTTCAGTTCCTGAGTCGGGAAGATCCCCTGGAGAAGGGACAGGCTACCCACTCCAGTATTCCTGGGCTTCCCTGGTGGCTCAGACGGTAAAGAATCTGCCTGCAATGCAGGAGACCTGGGTTTGATCCCTGGTTTGGGAAGATCCCCTGGAGGAGGCTATGGCAACCCTCTCCAGTATTCTGGCCTGGAGAATCCCCATGGACAGAGAAGCCTGACAGGCTGCAGTCCGTGGGGTCACAGAGAGTCAGACACGACTGAGCAACTAAGCATACCAAACATAATTACACAGACAGTGAGTTAAACCACATGAATGAATATGGTCACTTTGAGAAAATAAAGAAAGAAAAAATTGTTTATCGGTTTTAGACACTGCAGCTAACATGAATGTGTGCATAATATTATAATACTTTCCTACATTTTACATATTACACAGTAAAGAGTTAGAATATATTACAAATGTCTAACATTTTTTTCTTATTTGAAAACCTCCACCTTACCTGTTATAGCTAAACTTTGTGAAAATTTGATTTTACACACTTTTTTCTACATTTCAATTTTCTGAAATTGTGTGTTTTACATGATGAAGAAAAAGTTTTTAATTAATTGAAGGAAGAAAGTGAAGAAGAGTACTGAAATTCAGTTTTTGAGATGTCAACATTTAACTTAATTGAAATGTATAGACATAGTACAAAATAACTGGAAATTTAACTTTTTTACTTATCTTTACTATAAATGAATACTGTTTTCTAAAATGTCTTTTTCTGTCATTTAGAATATTGAGCAAACTAGCTCCCTTTATGATCTAAAAATTAAAAATAAAACTGATGGCTGTGGAAGAACAGTATCCTACTAAAAAGTCCAACTGAGTTATCCTTAGCAAATATCAGGAACTTCTAAGTGCCTACTTTAACCTCTGGTTAGCAGTACTTTGGTCTTTAAACTGTATTTGTGTTCTTTAATTACATCTTATGATATATTAACATGTACATATGTATTTTACTAATATTCTTGCAAACAAAGAATCCAAAATTATTTAAGCGTTCCCTTTACCTGCTTCCTATTGCTTTTAACTATATTGCTTTCAAATAATGATTGTGTTCGTTGTTTTTTTTTTAAATTTCTATCATTGTTCTTAAGCAATTTGACTATTACTATCATCAAATAATGTGCCGTGTAGTTTTCTTCATGTTCCTTATGATTTGAATTTTTTGACTTAAATCTGTGTGTTTATGAATTTTATCAGATTTGGAAATGTTTTGCCTATTAGTTTCTCAAATATATTTGTCTTCCCATAACTCTGCTCTTTTAATGATCCTAATTACACATTTATTTGGCCTCTTGAAGTTGTTTTACAGCTGACTGAAGCTCTGTCCCCCTCCCCCCCCATTTTCCCCTTGTACTTTTTGAGTTTCTCAGTGGTTAAATAAGATCATTGTATGGTCATCATTTATTTCATGATTTATAATAGCATGCCATATTCAAAAGCATGAAAGAAAATATTAACTCAAGAGTAAGGACTATCTGTGAAAGTCCTTGGTATTGATTCTTAAAGTACTTGTAATATATATGTCATTTTATCTAAGATTCCTAGCCAAATAAAAATAATAAAACCAGCAACCTCTGTTCCTTAAACTTGTTTGGTTATACTCCCATTTGTAGCAGGAGAAGTCTAATGTAATGCATATTAGGATTAATTATGAGCTTGAGTTCCATATTGCCCTTTACAGATTGTATCAGTAACCTTGCTAAGACTGTTTCCTTATTTTGAAAATAATATTTCTTGATATGCATGTTGTGAGGACTGAAATATATAGATATAGGTGATAAGCAGATTGATCTGTGCATAAAATAAAACAGAAGTTCTTGATAATAGTTTTAAAAACTGCCTCTAGAGACAGTACTATTGTAATACAAAATATTTTCTAGAGATTGGAGTTTAGGTATCCTGGCCTAAGGAGAATGATTAATCCCTTTCATTGATAGAATCAATGAGAATTGAATGTGTCACACTTTGCTTCATAACATTTTTTCCAGACCATTTACATTGCCTTTGTGTTAGCTGCAGTATAATCTTGTGTAAAGTCCCCTAAGATATTTATTATTTCCCTTCTTAATGATTTTTGAGAATCAATGTATTTTACACAAAAATTTCTTATAGATACACCAAGTATTACTGCTAAACTAATTAGTGAACAAAAAGATGACAAGGAAAAGAAAAACCATGAAGAAAAAGAAAAAGTTAAGGCAGAAAATGGATTTCAGGATAATTACAGTGTTGTTGTTGCTTCAGGTATGATTTTTTCTTATATAATCTTGACTTTGTTGGTTTCTATTAAGTGTAACAATTTATATTTATAGGAACTTCATGTAATAAACAGTATTAATGTAAAAAGCTGGTGTAATGATGTCTTAATATTAAATACACAATTATTGTATCAGAAATCAATTACTCTTTGGCATTGGAATTATTAAACTTATTTTGTGCTTACCGTATCTCATCAGATAATGAACATATGTAAAATAGTTTAGATGTTGCATTTTAACTTGACAGTGTACAGAGACTTATACTCTTTAAAAGTTCACTAAGTCTTAAGGAATTTTTCTGTAACTTTTTTTTTTTAATACAAATTGAAAAACTATTCACTAGTTTTCACTTATGATATTGTGCTCATTCCATAAAATTAGGAAATAAAAATCTTCAAAAGAAAATCGGTTGAAAACTGAGTTTTTACTATATTAGATACAGGAAGAGGAATAATTGGTCAAGATAAGGGATAATCTTGGAGGATGTTTTTCTTAACAAAATTCTTAGTTCAGAAGAGAAAGCTCAACCTAGATTACATTTCTTCTTAAATAGAAGACCTATATATTGTTTTAATGTGTTCTTTCTCAGAGAAAAATTAAGAACACGAGCTTTTCTGTATATTTTTGCACAAAATTACTTTTCAGTAAATGGATGCTCATCTACATGTATTTCAGAGAATACAGGAATTAATTTATACTTTCTTGAAAAATAGTTACACATGTATCCAGTTATTCATTGTGGTTGTTTAGTTGCTAAATCATGTCCAGTTATTCATGAAGTATAATAAATGACAAATAGGATCAAATACAATCAAATGACAAATAGAATCAAGAGATTAGATACTACATGAAAAGAAATATTTTCTGTCTTTTCCTGTTCCTGGTGGTTTAATAATATATTGAAGAAATACACTTTTACTTCATTAGTGTGTTGGCTATATAAATTTTTTGTTTGTTTGTTTGTTTTAGGGCTGAAATCGCAATCTAAACGTGCTGTGTCATCTACGCCACCTCGCCCACCATCCAGGAGAGGGAGGGCAATGCCTGATAAAATAGGAAGTGCTTCCTCAGGAGCAGACGCTGCCAGCAAAATAATCACGGTCCCTGTGTTTCATCTGTTCCATAAACTCTTAGCTGGTAATGTTCACAGTGATAAAGCATATCAGAAGTTTTAGTAATCTTACAGATGAATAAATCACATGTGTCATAACCAAAATCATGTTTAATCAGTTGCTGTTGGTGAGATAAATAATTTGGTGAGACTTTATCCATACAGGTCTCTTTAAGAGAAGTGAGAATAAAAAGAAAGTAACCTATTTAATACCCTTTTTAAACATTATAATGTTGCAGTTTTGCACTAGCTTCTTAAATTTTGTTATGAATGTGGTGTAAAATGATGAGTAAATTTAATGTTTTAGTTCATTCATAACAAGTTATATAGGACATAACGTGAGGTTAATTTTAAAGAAGTAGTTCTAGCAGTGGAATTCTTAGATATAGTCCTGATAGTTAAGCTTCCTCTCTTCCTGAATCATATTCTTTGACTCGTATACTTTCCTTTTGTTGAGGTAATAGCCATTTTATCTGCATGTGTGTGCTGTGTCATTATAATCAAACTGCCAACTAACTTTGGATTTTACTTCTTAGCTTTAGACATTGTTGATTTGTAGCAGAGGTCAGTAAAGTAGGGCAGGTAGACTGGATGTTTCTGTTTATAAAAACATTTTCGTAGGAATACAGCTATACCCATTCTATATACAAGGCAGCAAAAGAGACGAAGATGTAAAAAACAGACTTTAGTACTATGTGGGAGAAGGGGAGGGTGGGATGATTTGAAAGAATAGCATTGAAACATGTATATTACCATGTGTAAAAGAGATGACCAGTATAAGTGTGATGCATGAAGCAGGGCCCTCAAAGCTGGTGCTCTGGGACAACCCAGAGGAGTGGGGTGGGGAGGGAGGTGGAGGGGCGCTTCAGGTTGGGGGGACACATGTGCACCCACAGGTGATTCACGTTGATGTGTGGCAACCCCCACAGTATGGTAAAGAAGTTATCCTTCAGTTAAAATAATTAATGTAAACACCTTCACATAGGAATCCCGCTATGCCCATTCATTTATGTCCATTGTGGTTTCACGCCGCAGCAGAGGTGGCAGTTGCAGCAGAGACCATGTGGCCTCCGTAGCGTAAAATGCTTATTATCTAGCCTTTTTGGAAAAGATTCGCCAACTCCAGATTTATGGATTTTTTTTTTTTGTCCCTGTTCACCATTGCTCAGATCTTAGTGGGATTTGGTTAGTAACTAATTAACACTTTGTATCAGTTCAGTTCAGTCCCTCAGTGGTGTCTGACTTTGTGACCCCCATGGACTGCAGCATGCCAGGCCTCCCTGCCCATCACTTTGTATAGACATTATTGTTTACATTTGTCAGAAACAGATTTGAGGTTTGTAAACTTTCTGTTGCTGTTTTTATATTGTTTTGAAATTGGTGTCAAAATCAAACTCTTGACCTTTAATTTAGTAAAAGCTTTAAGGGATTGAATAAACTGAATCAAGTAAATGTCTCCCTCTTGGATTCCAGTTTTAACTCAGCTATGTCATTTTTAGGCCAGCCATTGCCAGCTGAAATGACGCTTGCTCAACTTTTAACTCTACTATATGACCGAAAGCTTCCTCAAGGTTACCGTTCAATAGATCTGACTGTTAAATTGGGATCCAGAGTTATCACAGACCCAAGTCTGTCAAAAACAGATTCTTTTAAAAGACTGCACCCTGAAAAAGGTAGGTGTATGATACTTCTTTTAAGTTACAGTCTGTAATCTGAGCAGGCAGGGGTTTCTGTACCTGATTACTTAATTTACATTTTATTACATCAACTTGAGATTTTTTTTTATGACTGAGTTATTTGTGAATATAGAAGACTGCCATTATTTCTGTTGGAAATTAGTTAATTCCTTGTGTAGCATCACTCTATTTTTATGGGCCCACACCATTCAGTTTGTTGAATCTTAGTTCCCTGACCAAGGATTGAACTTGGGCCCTCAGCAGTGAAAGCCTGTAGTCCTAACCACTGGACTGCCAGGGCCTTCCTAATTTTTAAAAAATGTTAGTTCTGAATGAGCCATGTTAATTGTTCATAATTTTATAATCAAAGTGTGGGCCTCATTTAGAATTTCCAACTTACTGATAATTTATATTGAGTGATATTTTGTGCTCATAAACATTTTTTCTCTCAAACAATAGTGGGATCATACAGTTTCTTACCTTTTTATATATTCAATTAAATATTTATAAATGTGCATTTTTTACTTCCTATTTTTATATGTTTATAACAATTTATCTGTTTCACAGTTGTTGAAGCATTCTGATTCTAGTATTTCACTACTATAAATGCTATTTAAGCAATGATTTTCATAGTGTGGATATGGTATCTTATTTATTTTCAGTGTTTCCCTGATTAAAGTTCAGTATTTGATTATTTGCCCTTTGTGCTCTTTAATAAATTTTAATACATTTCCTTAGCCCAAATTTTCAGCAGGATTATTTGTCTCTTTTAATGTTCATAGGATCTGGTTGTATGTGAACATATGCTTTTGGTTTTCCTCTGTGAGTGATTCACACTTAACCAATATGGTATAATTTTCAGTTTTCAGTACGAAAACTTTTTGTCAGTATTCAGTTTTTCCTAATTGAATACTTTTAGAGCATAACATGCACATATATTAATATTTTCTGAAGTCTCTGATGTTTTACTTGTTTGCCCTAAAGAATAATACTTTTCAGACTTCAATGTGCTTGCAAATCACCTACAGAACATTATAAAATTGCAGATTCCTATTCAGTAGATCGAGAGTACAACCTGAGAGTCTACATTTCAAAAGCTGTCAATATGATGCTGATCCTGATTGGACCATGTAGTGAAACAGCTACAGGGAGCAGTATCAGAAGTTATTTAAATATTTTTGTAGCATCTAGCTTTAAAATAACTAAATCTGAATAACAGGATAGTTATGCTCTTTTGTTGAATAGAGAGATGACAATAGCATCTGCTTTGTAAATGAAAAAATATTATAAAAATAGATCCTCTCTTTTAGCTGTTATTTGCGATTATTCTTCTAGATCATGGAGATTTACTTGGTAGTTGTCCCGATGATGAGGCTCTCACTCCAAGTGATGAATGTATGGATGGGATATTGGATGAATCTTTACTTGAAACCTGTCCCATTCAGTCACCATTACAAGTTTTTGCAGGAATGGGTGGACTGGCTCTTATTGCAGAAAGATTACCCATGTTATATCCAGAAGTAATTCAACAGGTAAGATAAGATTCCCAATTAATTATATCCTTCCATGGCAAAGACCATTTTTTTGTTTATGTTTAACTTAACCTTTGAAGTACGCTTTCCCTTAAAGTCTTTGAGTATTTTATAAATCCTTCAAAGTTCAGCCTAAATGGAGCTTTCTAAGAATTCAGTTCAGTCGCTCAGTTGTGTCCAACTCTTTGCAATGCCGTGGACTGCAGCATGCCAGGCCTCTCTGTCCATCATCAACTCCTGGAGTCTACCCAAGCTCATGTCCATTGAGTCGGTGATGCCATCCAACCATCTCATCCTCTGTTGTCCCCTTCTCCTCCTGCCCTCAGTCTCTCCCAACATCAGGGTCTTTTCAAATGAGTCAGCTCTTCGCATCAGGTGGCCAAAGTATTGGAGTTTCAACTTCAACATCAGTCCTTCCAGTTAATATTCAGGACTGATTTCATTTAGGATGGACTGGCTGTCTGTTAGTAAAGAAATGTTGTAAACCGAGCACATTTGCCAAGGTCATCACACTGTAGCATTTTTATGTCTACACTTCTTAAGATGTGATATTAATTATAGATACTACTAGAAAATAGGGGAGTGAAGTAGTAGTATATTCTTCTACCCAAATACACTATGTCTTTTTGCTTCACTTTTATTTCTTTTTAAGTGCCATTTCTATTTAAGTCGTTTTTAAAACATTAACTTCTTCCCCTGTCTGTTAATGTTACTGTCATTGAGTTGTGTACTTTAAATGTCCTTTTATTAAAGGAAGGAAGTGTGTGATACATGGAGAGCTGTAAATATGAAGTTCTTTATTTTTGTTGATTGAGGTAGGGAAGTTATTCTCTGTAATTTTATCTACTTTGTGTGTGTGTGTGTGTGTGTGTATAAGTTTATGTATGTATTAGTTTCCTAGGGCTGCTGTAACAAAGTACCATACACTAGGTGGCTTAAAACAGAAATTTAATTTTCTTACTGTAAGTCTGGAATCAAGGTGTCACCAGAGCCATGCTCACGGTGAAGGCTCTAGGGGAGAATCCTTCCTTACCTCTTCCTAGTTTCTGATTATTACTGACAGTTAAGGGCATTCATTGCCCTCTAACTACATCACTCCAGTTTCTGCCTGCATTTTTACATGATTGTCTTCCTTTTCTGTATCTGTATCTCCTGCTCCTTATAAAAACACCGTTCATTGGATTTAAGGTCCACCCTAAGCCAGTATGACCTCATCTCTTAATTGATTACATCTGCAAAGACCCTGTTTTCAAATAAGTTCACATTCACAGGTGCTGGGGGTTAAGACTTGAGCATATCTTTGGGAGGATACAGTTCAACGCACAATAATACCTATTAAGATAAATGGTTATTACTTTTATTCAAAGAACTTATGGTATTTTTATTTTTAGATGATATAACTAGGATATAAGGTGACTGTCACAGAAAAATATGAGTAAAATTTTATTGCTTTCTAAAAATTGTAATGATATAGCTAGAAGTTTGAAATGGAAAAAACTCCAACATTCTCAAGGTTATTGTTGCTCAGTGAAAATGACTTTCCTAGTTCAGTATTCAGTATGGTTCATTATAGTGATTGGAGACCAAGTGCTGCTGTAATAAACACCTCGAAGAGTGAAAGTGACTTTAGAATTGAATATTTGTCAGAGTATGGAAGAATTTTGAGAAGCATGATATAAAGAGGTCTAAATTGCCTTGAACAGACAACTAGTAGAAATATGGATGGTAAAACCTTGTCCAGTGAGGGCCCAGAAGAAAGTGAGGATCATGATAGAGAGAACCTATGTATCATAGAGAATACCTAAATTAGGTTAAGCAGATTGTTGGTAGAAATATGGATGTTAAAAGTACTAGTGGTATAGTTTAGTAGGAAATGAGGAAAATGTTATTGGAAACTGGAGAAAAGGAGATTCCCTGTCTTTTAGTGGTAGAAATCTTAGTGTATTTGTGTCCTGTATGTGGAAGGTAGGGCTTGTAAGTGATGAACTTGGATATTCAGCTGAATTTCCAACCTGAGTGTGAAATTACCTGTTTTCTTCTTGGTACTAATAGTAAAATGTGAGAGGAAAGAGATAAATTGAGGGAAGATGCTAAAATTAGAGATTTGCTATCAGAAAAGCATGCTCTGGAGAGAAAGGCAAGGATGTGGTTTCAGTGTTTGCTGGAACCTCAGAAAAATCCAGATGCTAGTATAGTCAGTCACATACAGGGCTGTGTGAAGAGATCAGTCATGGATCCTGTCAGTCATCTAACCCTGAGCCAGGAATGAAGAAAGTTGTTTGACAGTACTGGCATAGTCAAAGAGGGAGATGTGATGATGAAAGCAGAGGTTTAAATGAAGCAGCTGAAAGCCAAGGAATATGAATGGTCTCTAGTAGCTGGAAAACACAAGGAACTGACACTCCCCGAGAGGCTCCAGAAAGAGCACTTGATACTTAGGATCCAAAGCTTTGATTCCAGTTCATAAGACTCTTAGATTTCTGACCTGTAAATCTTTCAGATAATAAATTTGTATTGTTTTAAGTCAGTAAGTTTGTGGTGATATGTTTCAGCAAAGCATATAGGAAATGAATACAGATTTTGGTGTGTACTCTTTTTAGGATGTTTTGGTCTGGTTTTGGCATCAGGGTAATACTGCCTTATAGAATGGGTTGGAAATGTCTAATATTTCGTTAGAACTGTTAGATGGGTTTTTCAACAGATTAAACACTTAAAGATTATAAAATTAGTAGTAGAGAAGATATGTCAAAAGAAATAATCTAGACTGAAGCATAGAATATGTAAGGAATGAAAAGAACATAACAGCTATATGGACATGTAGCTAGAAGTGAAAAATTCTGATGTGTATTTATGGTCACAGAAAAAGAATGAATTGAAAGAAGGACAGAAACAATACTGAAAGGAAGAAAAATTTCCAAAACTATGATAAAAAAACCTCAATCCAAAATTCAAGAAGCTGTCTAAACCCCAAATAGGATATTCATGCCTAAGAACATTATGATAAACTACTTATAAACAAGAGAAAAGCTTAAAACCAGCCAAAAACCAGTAAACCCATTTCTTTCAAAACAGTAACAATAATTCTGACAACTAACCTTTCATCAGACACCTTGGGAGCCAGGGAATTACTTCTTTGAAATGTAAGAAAAAAAATCTGCCATCCTAGAGTTTTATACCCAGTGAAGAGGGTTTGGGACACTTTCCTCAACCACTGCTACTCTTTCCATAAAAGGTGAATTGGTAATATAAGATAGTAGGTTTATGATGAACTCTCCTTATATATTAAGTCTGGACAGACTATCTTTAAAAGAAAAGAAAAAGGAATTGTTTAAAGGCTCTGGAGAGTGACCAAAAGTAGGCACCTGTTGGAGAGGATTTAAACGTGAAGAGAATAAAACCACATCGGGTGAGATTAATCTTCTGAGACTTCTTCTCAGTCTCTGGGGTGAGGTGATAGAACTCATGCAAAAGCTTTAGAGAAGTTTGGTTCTTCCATTCTGGCTGGAGGTTAAAAGGGGGGAAATATAGGAAGAAGGGACCCATAGATGGGGTACTCTGAATTCTGCACATGAAGTTTTGCACAACTGTAGCTGGCTCCTGAATACTTAGAGTTCTTGAGAGAAAACTGGAAGGCTGAACAAACTGTCCAGACATGTCAGTGTCTGTCCAGCATGAAAGAAACAATTTGTAATTCTGTTCCTTCCAAGTTAGAGGTAAAAATCTTCAGCTTCTCTATTGAAATTTCAAATGAGTCACACATTAAAAAGTATAGATGACATACTGGTAATCAGGGACTCACTTGAAAAATAATGGTAAAACTAGAGCAGACTCTAATAAATGTATAAAAGCCTCCATAAGTTTAAGATTGACCCACCAGTAATAAAACTGTTTTCTAATACAAAACTAAACCATTTTCTAATATAAAGCTGACCATTATATATAATTTGACCATTTTCTAAAATAAAACTAAACTCTTAATTACAAACTTAAGAGTTATAACATCTCGTCAGTAATGTATGATGTGTAATTAAAAAACAGACAGCCATGGAAAGAAAGAAGAAAATGTTACCTGTGGTTAACAATAAAATAAGTCGGTGAACAGCTCTTACTCACATTTTGCCAGTCGTCCCACTAATGTTCTGAAGAAGGAAAAGAAAAAAAATCACTTTCTTTGGCATGGTTTGAGGAAGTTTGTGGTCATAGATTCAATTCAGGGTCATATGATATATTGCATTTAGGTGTCTCTTTAGTTGGACTGTTGGAGAAGACTCTTGAGAGTCCTTTGAACTGCAAGGAGATCCAACCAGTCTATCCTAAAGGAGATCAGTCCTGGGTGTTCATTGAAAGGACTGATGCTGAAGCTGAAACTCCAGTACTTTGGCCACCTTATGTGAAGAGTTGACTCATTGGAAAAGACCCTGATGCTTGGAGGGATTGGGGGCAGGAGGAGGAGGGGACAACAGAGGATGAGATGGCTGGATGGCATCACCAATTCGATGAACATGAGTTTGAGTAAACTCCAGGAGTTGGTGATGGACAGGGAGGCCTGGCGTGCTGCAGTTCATGGGGTCGCAAAGAGTTGGACACGACTAAGTGACTGAACTGAACTTAGTTGGACTGCAAGGAGATCCAACCAGTCCATCCTAAAGGAGATCAGTCCTGGGTGTTCATTGGAAGGACTGATGCTGAAGCTGAAACTCCAATACTTTGGCCACCTCATGCAAAGAGTTGACTCATTGGAAAAGACCCTGATGCTGGGAGGAATTGAGGGCGGGAGGAGAAGGGGATGAGAGAGGATGAGATGGCTGGATGGCATCACTGACTCGATGGACATGAGTTTGAGTAAACTCCGGGAGTTGGTGATGGACAGGGAGGCCTGGCGTGCTGCGATTCATGGGGTCGCAAAGAGTCAGACACGACTGAGCGACTGAACTGAATTGAACTTAGTCTCATTTAACCTGTAACAGTTACGTTATCTTTGTTTTTCACGACCGTGACACATGGAAGAGTACAGGCTAGAAAGCTTATCTATATATGTAGTCATATATATGAATGCATGCTCCGTTGCTTCAGTCATGTCCAACTCTTTCCAACCCTATGGACTGTAGCCCACCAGGCTGCTCTGTCCATGGGATTCTCCAGGCAAGAATACAGGAGTGGTTGCCATGCCCCGTGTCTCCTGCATTGCGGGCAAATTCTTCACCCACTGAGCCACCTGGGAAGCCCAAACATATATATGTGTCTATACATGTTTTTCCTAGATTTGTTTGCTTATAGAGCATGGAGTCAGACTGCCTTAGGCAGTGTGTACATACCTGTGTCCCATATCTGCTTTGTAAAGTATCATTTCCACTAAAAGAAATCAGTGCCCCTTGGAAAAATTCTAGGATTCGGGCAGAGAATGTACAAGATGAGCCTAGATACAGAAGTCTCCTTTAAAGGAGTTCCACTGACCAAGCCTGATTTTACTTGGTCATGAGATAAAATGATAGTAACAGATTATTACTTGCAGAGTAACTTTCAGTTCAGTTCAGTTCAGTGGCTCAGTCATGTCTGACTCTTTGTGACCCCATGAATCGCAGAGTAACTTTAGAATTAATTAATAGTTAAATTAATAAATGAATGAATAAATAGATGAAGAAGAAGGAAAGGTTTTTGTGTACAGTTCACTGCCAACCAGTAAATGTAGAATTAATGAAAGAATTAGAAAACACCATTTGGCAGCTACCATAATAATTATTATTTCTTGCAAACATAAACATGCTAACTCTAGTGATCAAAGTTGAGTGGGAAACAAGGTATTTACATAGTCTTCAAAGACTCTGTCTACAGATACTTAACTAATTACAGAGGAGAAAATAGTAACTTTTAGAGTAGAAGTACTTGGCACATACAACCATACTTATGGTATCATGTAACTCATTTTAAAAAACATGTCCTTTTATTGATTTAAAACATTTTTATTTCAAACTTGAGTTTAGTTGATTAACAATGTTTTATAGTTTCAGGTGTACACCAAAGTGATTCAGCTATACATTCTTTATTGATTTTTATATTCTTATATTTTAAAGAGATCATTTGAATTCAAGTCTTTACTTTGAACCTGATGTTGAAACATACAAATAGCCAAACAAAATTGTTTTTACTTTAGGTGAGTGCTCCGGTTGTAACGTCTACTACTCAGGAAAAACCAAAGGATAGTGATCAGTTTGAATGGGTGACTATTGAACAATCAGGGGAATTAGTTTACGAAGCACCAGAAACCATTGCGGCTGAACCCCCACCTATCAAGTCAGCAGTACAGACCATGTCTCCCATACCTGCCCATTCTTTGGCTGCTTTTGGATTATTTCTTCGGCTTCCGGGTTATGCTGAAGTGCTACTAAAAGAGAGAAAACACGCCCAGTGCCTTCTTCGCTTGGTTTTGGGAGTGACAGATGATGGAGAAGGAAGTAAGTGTTGAGTGATACTAAGGAAATTTAATGTAGGTGGGTTGTGTGAAATTAATAGAAGAAAAAAAGAAAAATTTTAGGGATGTAGCCTGGCAAGTATATTTTCATTTGGTTTACCTCTAGTTCTTCAGGGAATGACCATTACATTTGAGAATCAGAATTTTTTTTCATGTTATTTTAAAATCTTGTGGTTTTGATCAGAGGTGATGTCTTTCACATGCTGTTTAGAATGTATGCAGTCTTAAACCCTGTACAACAAAGTACATATAATGCAATAATGAGTTTATTCATGAATCCTATATGAATTTATTCATGAATCCTTTAACTTGGAAGCTACTGAGTATTGTGTATGTAGTTTTTTGTGTGTGTTTTCATATTGATGGAATTCTTCAAAAATGTTGGCATAATTTTAAATATGTTCATAACTGTTATTAAATTACAGTGTCCATATACTAAACACGTCCTGGTTGTTTATTCAGATAGAAATTATGTATACTTATTTTAATAGATCAGAAATTTCTAAAGGCTTGAGCTGATTTTTTTAAGTAGCTAGAGTGTAAGAACCATGGTAATTTAGGACTCTTACTATGAGACAGTAGGTATAACCCTAAACTGAAAAGGAAAAAAATTGTCTTTAGGCCGTTTCGAACTGTGTATAGTGAATAAAGAGTAATGTCTATTAAAAAACATAATTTTGATATATCTTTTTGCCGTGGTTGCCTCATTTGCCATTCATGTAGAAGTCTTTTTTTGTTTGTTTTGTTTTACATTTAATACTCTGTAGCTAGAACATAGTGGAAAACTTTATTGCAAACAAAACAAAATTGTTTAACTCTTGCATTCATGGTTGAAACTACTTCCAGGGCAAGACTTTCATACTCTTGTAAGGAAGTGTTTATGCTGCTGTTTTAGTTGTTAGTTTTTAGTTTAAATTTTAGATTATAATAATTTTGACATAGTCTATAACAAGTATCATATGAGTATATTTCAACTTTCTTTTGGAGTTTATATATTTGATGTCTTTTTAGACACTTTATTCTTAAATATTAAGTATTTAATTTCATTTATGGTATTGTTTTGTCACTTTTTAATAAATATAATGATAAAATTTTATATTGTCATTATAAATTTGTGAGCTTCTGTGTTGTTTCTTATTGTGTTTTTAAATATTTTTTAATTTTGTGTTCTCTTCTTTTAATCTAGGTCATATCTTGCAATCTCCATCAGCCAATGTGCTCCCAACCCTGCCTTTCCATGTCCTTCGGAGCCTGTTTAGCACTACGCCTTTGACAACAGATGACGGTGTGCTGCTTCGGAGGATGGCTTTGGAAATTGGGGCACTCCACCTCATTCTTGTCTGTCTCTCTGCTCTGAGCCACCATGCCCCACGAGTTCCAAACTCTAGTCTCAATCAAACAGAGGTAGGTTCAGTTTTAATTCTTTAAATCATGAAAAATTGTTAGATTCATGGAGTACAGGCATAGTTTTTTCTGAAGTAATTAGTACTTCAGAGGCTGGGGGAGAGGGGCGCAGTTTGTTTTGTTTTGATTTTTTTTTTTTTTTGCCCCTAAAACAAACAAACAAAGTGGTTATTTAAAAGAGGATAAAATGAATTGTTCTCTTCTTTCTTAGATTCTTTCAGAAAGCCTTAAGTTAATCCATCTACTTAAGCAAAAAAGATGTTATAGCCTAATAAGCTTTTTCATTTACCAGGTTACACTGAGTTTATACTGTGATCCCTTTTCCTTTTTGAAGGGTCTAGTCAGTACAGTAAGGTTCTAGTCAGTATAGTAAGACAAAAACAATAAGAAAGAAAGAAAGAAAGAACCCTGATTGTTTTGAGATGATTTGATTGTATTTATAGAAATTCTACAAATGAATAATGGCCTAAGTGAGTTTAATGAGGATATAATTTCCAGTTTCAGTATATAAAAATAAGTCATTTCTGTATACCAGCAACAAACATAAAATGAACTTTTTAAAGATGTCCTTTAGAATAGCATCAAAAATAGGAAATATTGAGAAATAAACATGAAAAATCTATGTAAGACCTCTCATCATAAAATATATAAAACTTTGTAAACAGGTATTTATTAATTAGACTTTAATAAACTGAGGTCTCTGTCCATGTTTACCTCTCATGAAGTAGAAAATACACCATTTCATTAGTATTTCTTCCCAAACTGATTCTTTTTCTTTTTTTTTGCTCAGCTTAAAAGCATGTGGTATCTTAGTTCCCTGACTAGAGATAGGACCCATCGCTCCTGCATTGGGAGTGTGGAGTCTTAACCACTGGACCAGGGAAGTCCCACCAAATTGATTCTTAAGTTTGATGGAACTCCAGGTTTATTTAGGTGGAAATTGACAAGCTGATTGTAAAATTCATTCAGAAACTCAAAGGGTCAAGGATAGCCAGAACATTTTCAAATAAGAACAGTATATATAGTAGTCTCATATTTTGAAACTTATTATTAAGCGATGGTATTTACAGAAGGTTAGATTGAAGCCCTGCAGACAATAGAGACATCTACATATATAGAGGTTTCTGATACTATGACAAAGGTGACTATGGAACAGTATGGTGATAGGATCAGTTAGATACTCATATGGAACAAAAACGAATCTGCAGACCCTACTGTGCTCTAAATGCAAACATTAATTCTAACTGGATGGTGAATCTAAATGTATATAGTATATATAACATGTAACAATACCATTTTACCAAAAAAAGTAAGAGATACCTTTATGATCGATCAGTTCCACTGCTTAAGAGAGTAGAAGCGCAAGTCGCAGAGTGGGAGGCTGTATTTGTGTGTCTCTGATAAAGGACTTACACCCAGAATATTTAAAGAGCTTCCAGAATTTCCCAGAGGAGCTCAAACCAAGTTTCTGTAACAACCTGGAAGAGTGGGATGGGAAGGGAGGTGGGAGAGAGGTTTAAGAGGGAGGGGACACATGTATATCTGTGGCTGATTCATGTTGATGTTTGGCAGAAACCGACACAATATTGTAAAGCAGTTATCCTTCAATTAAAAATAATTAAATGTAATTATTAAAAAAATTTCCCAAAGGAAAAAGCCGACAATGAGATAGAAAAATACCAGATGAAAAGCTTGAGTGGGTGCTTCATCAGAAGAGGCTATCTAAATATTCAATAAATGTGAAAGGGTCATCTGTTGCTTTAGTTACCAGAGAAGTACAAGTGAAAATCTTTAATACATTGAGTACACATCAGTCACAATGTGTAAGATTTCAAAATTGTCCCACCATAAGTAATGTAAAAACAGTAGAGTGGGCAAATAAGCTGTAGTCTATTATGTAATAGAATGCTAGAAGGTAATGAAAGTAAAGAGCTATAGCCAACTACATATAATAGAACTGGTGAGTTTTATAGTCACAGCTAACAAGCTAGATATAAAGGAATATGTACATCATGATTCCACTTACGTAATGTTAAAAATAAAAATAAGTTATAGCGAGTAGAGTTTCATGTTTAGGTGGTAAAGTTATAAAGAAAAGAAAGGAAGTCATGAGTATAAAAATCAGGATTATAATTAGTTTTGTAGAGGAGTGAGAGTGTGAGGGAGCAAGGGCAATTTCTTGCATGCAGTGGTTTAATTCTTGACCTGCATGGTAGAGTTGTTTTCAACTCATCAAGTTTTACATACTTGTTTTGTGTTCTTTCTGTAAATATGTTATACTTTACATTTATAAAAAATGAATAGCTGTTTTTATCAATAACCCTAATTATTCTAGTGGTAAATGTATGGTAATGAAATTTTCATGATTTAACATTTTATTTTATAAAATGTGAAAGATGGAATTATTCAGTCATAGATTCATCCAACTCTCCAGATCAATTTATGAAAGTATTGTTTGTACATAATATTCTTTCTTGAAATGTTCCTATTAAAATACTTGCAGAGTACCCTTGAAATTAATACTTAAATGCAAATATTTTAATGAAAATTCTTTAAAGGAGGATTCTTATTACAGAATTAATTTTATAGTCAACAGTAATCATAATAAGAATTGACCTTTACTGAGTTTGAGGTTATATTAATAAACCAGTGGTTCTCAGTCTTCTTTTTTTCTTTCTCTACAACATTCACGTTTTTAATATGTCCTCTATCTCCAAAAGGAATTTTTCTGCACATCATATTCTGAACAAAAAAGAAATTGGAAAGTACTCCTTCTAGAAATAAAAGCAGACATTCTTGCTGTGATTGGAAACACATGATACCATTAGAGTCGTCTGAGAAGATCTGGCTCATGTCTCTCCTCTCCTCTCTCTGCTTTCTCTGCTTAACTTTGAGTCATTGACTCTTCAGGCCCTTAGATGCTTTACTCAATCATTCCTGATAGATTATTTTAAATACTGATAAAAATTTCTTATATTTATTCTTAAATAGAAGCATTTTTCCCTTCCCCTAACCTTGATAACTACCACTTTGCATTCCGCTCTATGTACTCTGGATATTTCATAAAAATGAAATCATACAATATGTTACCTTTGTAACATTGTCTTGTCTGCTTTGAATTAGCATATTGTTTTTGAGACTCATCCACGTAGCGTGAATCAGTGCTTAGTTATTTGTTATGGCTGAATAATAGTCCATTGTATATATATGCCACAGTTTGTTTATTTATCCATATAACCATTGATGGGCTTTTGGGCTGACTTTTTGACTATTGTCAATGGTCTTGCTATGAACATTAGTGGAATATATTTGAGTATCAGTTTGTTTGTTTTTTTCCCCTTTGGATATATACCTAGGAGTGGAATTGCTGGGTCTTGTAATTCTTTGCTTAGTTTTTTAAGGCATTGCCAAACTATTTTCCATAGCAGCTAAACAATTTAAATTTCTGCTGGTAATTTGAGGATAGATAAAAGCAAATAGTAATAATTCTTTTCTTTTGGTTACCAGCCGCAGGTATCAAGCTCTCATAACCCTACGTCAACAGAGGAACAGCAGCTCTACTGGGCCAAAGGGACTGGCTTTGGAACAGGCTCTACAGCTTCCGGATGGGACGTGGAGCAGGCCTTAACCAAACAGCGGCTGGAAGAGGAACATGTTACCTGTCTCCTGCAGGTATATTTGTACAGTTGATACTGTCAGCGATAGTAGTTCATCTTTTTGTGTGTGTCTGTGTTGAGTTTTAAGTTTTATTTTATTTTATTTTTTTATTTTTAAGTTTTATTGGCCTTATCCTCAGCTACTTTTTATAAAGTTCATTTTTAAAATGAAAAAACTTTCTCCCTGCCCTCAGTACATTTAAGGTACTAGATAAAGATTGCTCTTCAGTGCTTGCAACTCTGAATTCTTCCCTCTTAGCCTCTTTACTGAGAGGAAAGTGACAAAGGTGTTGTCCAATAACAAGAATGTACCATATCTGCTTTCCTCCTGTCCACTTCTCATCTAAACTCCTATATCTGGACACTCTCTTTTTTAAAAAAAAATCTATTTACATGTTTGTTTCTCACATTGTATTGCGTTTTCTAGAATTGGGCAAAGTGAACTAGTTTATAAAGTTTTTAATGCAGAATGAGAAGAGTAGGCTCTTAAAGATTAGCTTTTGTTCCTGTATCAGCTAATTGACTAAAATTAGGGTTTTGTTTTCTGTTTTTCCAAGCATTATTTAAGTCTTTGAGCACTATTTTTGCAGTTCTAGGATAAGCTTATTCTCATATAGACTTCTAAGATCTCATCACCCTTAACTATAAATTAAACCTACTCAGTAAAATAAATAATCTCAAAGTTGCAACTAAGCTTTTAAGTTCATGTTCTTAGATGGATTGCTTCTATATGTCTGGTCATAGCACTGAACATCATCATGAGAAACATATCCTCTTTTGAAAATGTAAAGGAAAAAAAACTCTCATTTTTAAAACCTGTAGTATGAAGCATTGATTGAGTTGAAAATATATACTCTTCGTATTCAGATTGAACATCTAACATAAAATATGGGATTTTAAATTTGTGAAGCTAAGACTCAGTTTTAAATCCTTGGATTTTTATTTTTAGGTTCTTGCAAGTTACATAAATCCTGCAAGTGGTGCTGTGAATGGAGAAGCTCAGTCATCTCACGAGAGTAGAGGACAGAACAGTAATGCCCTCCCTTCTGTGCTTCTAGAGCTGCTCAGTCAATCCTGCCTCATCCCTGCCATGTCATCGTATCTACGAAATGACTCAGGTAAATCACATTGTAACTAGTGCTTTACAGTATCTTAGTGGATGAGTACTTTTGTTCACTTACTTTATCATTAAAGTTATAATGATAAAATATCACTTTTTCTTTTAATAACCTATAACTGAAGATGATAGGGTAAAGGCTAGCAGCTTCATTACAATACTGTGATCCAAACCTGGTTAATTGAATTTCTGTGTGTTTTTAACGTTTTTCTTAAACATTAGAATTGCAGACAGTAGTTTTTTGAAGAAAGGCAGATAGATAAACTATACAAGTCTGTAGATACTTGACAATGAATATTAGTTTTTACAAATTCAACTATGAAAGCACTTTAGGTAGATATTTTGCCAGTATTCAACTGATTATCAACTGAAATTGCTTTTTTATTTCCTTGGTTGTGGAATTATTTTCCAAGAAATGTATCCTTTTCTTAAGTAGAATAAAAAGTTTATGTTTTATTTAGACTCTCAGTGACATACAGGTATTGCCAAGAAAAATAAGCAGTTGGCATCTCTTTATTTTAACCTAGATGTTTGTTTGCTCACTTTTTTAAACTACCTGCTCCTCTTCTTGTATTTGCTTTTATTCATATTCTTACTCATGAAAATAGACACAAATTCAGTTAGATTATTAAGAATAGGTAAGGGAAGCAATGGGAATGAATCTTGAAGTAGTCTGTTTTGATGGTTGGTAGCAATTTAAATGCAATTAGATGGATGGAAAATGTATTTGAGAAGGGATTACTGCCACTATTCTTCACCTTCAAAAAATTATTGTGCTTCCAAACATACTATTTCTGGGACTTCCCTGGCAGTCCAGTGGTTAAACCCTGCTCATCCCAATGCAAGGAGTGTGGGTTCGATCCCTGGTAGGGGAACTAAGATCCCACAAACCTCCGGGTGCAGCAAAAATTAAAAAACTAACAAAAAACACACACCATTTCTCAGCCTACCTCAAACTTCCTATAAAAATATTGGTGTTATATTAAATTGGTTTTTTAAGATTGAGATGTTTGATACATTAGATTTGTCTCTTTTGAAAAAATAGATATCAAATGTACAATGTATTCTTTGATAAAGTAAAACATTTAGAGCTGTAAACACTAAAGTACTTCAGATCGGTGCCAAAATTTGATATTAAATCATTTAGGAAAACAGAACAGAGTAAGACAAGGTTTCTCTTTATCTGATTCCACATTGTTAAAATATTAATACTTTCACTTTCAAACTGTATGACCTCTCAAAAGTTTTTAATTTTGTCTTGTTCTGAAATTCAGTCTTTGTGTAACACTGGGCTTTTATCTTCATGATTTAGAGTCAAAGGGAAATCTGGTATTACTCTTATTGTTTAAAATAATCTATTCAAGTAGGTGCACTTTCTGGTAAGTATGTATTTTAATAAATAAGCTGTGATTATGGTAAATATATGGAATTATAGCCACTTAAATATTCTTGTCTTGGAACTATTTTAGAAATTTAATGTTTGCCTTTCCTTTATGATTATTATCCCAGAATAAAGAAATTTCTTTGTCCAAAGTTTAGATATATGCTTGAATCTGGTACTGTGTCCAGTGGTGTAATTTTAATTGATAGATTTATACTTGAATGTGGTTGCAAAAATAATTTTGAAATTTAGATTTTAAGATAAACATAAAATAATATACTAAGTTAACTATGTCATCAGATAATTGTCAGAACACCTCTTAAATTATGTTTTTAGTAATCAAAGAAAATTTTTTGGAGTTTGGGATATATTCTGATCCATCAGTTCAGTTCCATCACTCAGTCCTGTCTGCAACCCCATGGACTGCAGCACACCAGGCTTCCCTGTCCATCACCAGCTCCCAGAGTTTATGTCCATCGAGTCAGTGATGCCATCCAGCCATCTCATCCTCTGCCCTCCCCTTCTCCTCCTGCCTTCAGCCTTTCCCAGCATTGAGGTCTTTTCCAGTGAGTCAATTCTTTGCATCAGGTGGCCAAAGAAGTTTCAACTTCAGCATCAGTCCTTCCAATGAACATTCAGGACTGATTTCCTTTAGGATAGACTGGTTAGTTCTCCTTGCAGTCCAAGGGACTCTCCAACTCCACAGTTCAAAAGCATCAATTCTTTGGCTCTCAGCTTTCTTTATAGTCCACCTCTCACATCCATACATGACTGCTGGTAAAACCATAGTTTTGACTAGATGGACCTTTGTTGGCAAAGTAATATCTCTGCTTTTTAATTTGCTGTCTAGGTTGATCATAGGTTTTCTTCCATGTAACAAGCATCTTTTATTTTCATGGCTGCAGTCACCATCTGCAGTGATTTTGGAACCCCCTAAATAGTCTGTTACTCTTTCCCCATCTATTTGCCATGAAGTGATTGGACTGGATGCCATGATCTTAGTTTTCTGAATGTTGAGTTTTAAGCCAACTTTTTCACTCTCCTCTTTCACTTTCATCAAGAGGCTCTTTAGCTCTTTGCTTTCTGCCATAAGGGTGGTGTCATCTGCATATCTGAGGTTATTGATGTTTCATCCTGCAATCTTGATTCCAGCTGTGCTTCATCCAGCCTGGCATTTCTCATGATGTACTCTGCATATAAGTTCAGTAAGCAGGGTGACAGTATGCAGCCTTGATGTACTCCTTTCCCGATTTGGAACTGGTCTGTGTTCCATGTCTAGTTCTAACTGTTGCTTCTTGAGCTGCATGCAGATTTCTCAGGAGGCAGGTCAAATGGTCTGGTATTCCCATCTCTATAAAAATTTTCCACAGTTGTGATCCACACAATCAAAGGCTTTGGCGTAGTCAATAAAGCAGAAATAGATGTTTTTCTGGAACTCTCTCGCTTTTTTGATGATCCAGCAGATGTTGGCAATTTGATCTCTGGTTCCTCTGCCTTTTCTAAATTCAGCTTGAACACCTGGAATTTCTCGGTTCCTGTACTGTTGAAGCCTGGCTTGGAGAATTTGAGCATTACTTTGCTAGCCTGTGATATGAGTGCAGTTGTTCGGTAGTTTGAAGTTCTGATCTGTAGTTTTGACAAGCAAGGTGTATTATTTAAGTATGCCCACTTATAATATTCTAAATACAAATTATTTATTTCAGGAAAATATAGCTTTACTGCTTATGTAAATTACCAATTTTGATTAAAATATTAATTTTTAATGTGACATTTTAAAATCTGAACAAATAGCTTCTTGAAACTTAGTAAAATTTTTATTTTATAAAATTAGTCTAAAGTCCATTTTCTGATTTTGTCATTGGTCTGTAGAATATTATTTTTGACCATTTGGGGATTTGGGATAAGGATGAGCATCCAATATAGAACCTTTTATTTCATTTAATTGTCATATCTTTGTTCTCCTTTAATCTGGAACCTTTACCAACTTTCTTTGTCTTTCGTGATATTGATGACGTTTTGTAGACTATTTTATAGCGTATCCAGCAAATTGTTTTTTAAGTGTGAGAGCAGTGCTAATAATTTTGTTTAAGGCATTGTATTCAAGAAATGGCTCGCTCATGTTGCTAGCATGTAGTATACAAAAACACAAGCCTAATGTAATGGGCTATTTCAGGAGTCACACTGAACTATAGTTAGCCCTTGGAAATTGTTTCCAGGACCCTCCACCAAAACCAAAATCTTTCTGCTTTATTCTGTGAATGTTCAGTGTATTCTTATCAACCTTACCAGTTCACTCTGGCAGGCAACATGCCACTTTTCAAATGATCTAAGATTTTTTTTTTAAATTTTCTCCTCAAAACATAGCACTTTATGTTCCCTCTTAGCCTTTGAGATGTGGCTTTGACCTCTTAATTGCTTTTTAGGAGCCCCGCCCGGCCCAAAGAAACAAAAGGTTTCACAAAACACAAGAAGTGAATGAGGGAGAGGCTAACAAATGCTCAGTAACAACCTTGTGCTGGTCAACTATATGTAACAGATTTAGTAACTTTTTAAGTAGGATTTGTTCAGATTTTACCTTCAAAGAACTAAATTCCAAAAGCTGAATCTATAAAATAGTTGTTAGAAAAATTATAAAACAGTAAATTTGAAGCCACAGCTTTAAAGTGGGTAACTGAAACAAAAAGTGATTTGTATGTTTGTATTAGGCTCTTTTATCTCTAGTATCATTTTTTAAAGGAATTGATAAAAGCCTCTAAAGAGAGAAAGTAGTTATTTTTATGAGATTTTTTTTACTAGATACGAAGATCCTCATATGAAGTATGTGTTCATTTTAGTTTCTCCCTCCCCATATTCTGACTTCATTTTGTTGAAGCCATGTTAATTTGAAAATTGCTTGTAAACAGTTATATACAAGGACCATTTTTCCTCTAGCTGCTGTTTATATATATGCAAGCTATTGAGTAAGCCATCAGTTACACCACTGGCCACTAGATGGCGATCTCGTTTCATTGCCAGAAATACTTTGAGCTCAGCTCAGTTCAGTTGAGTCGCTCAGTTCTGTCTGACTCTGCGACCCCATGGACTGCAGCATGCCAGGCTTCCCTGTCCATCATCAAGTCCCGGAGCTTATTCACACCCATGTCCATTGAGTTGGTGATGCCATCCAACGCTCTCATCCTCTGCCATCCCCTTGTCTCCCGCCTTCAATCATTCCCAACATCAGGGTCTTTTCAGATGAGTCAGTTGTTGGCATCAGGTGGCCAAAGGATTGGAGTTTCAGCTTCACCATCAGTCCTTCCAGTGAATATTCAAGACTGATTTCCTTTAGGATAGACTGGTTGGATCTGCTTGCAGTGCAGGGGACTCTCAAGAGTCTTCTCCAACACCACGATTCAAAAGCATCAGTTCTTGGGCGCTCAGCTTTCTTTATAGTCCAACTCACATCCTTACATGAGTACTGGAAAAACCAAAGCTTTGACTAGATGGACCTTTGTTGGCAAAGTAATGTCTCTGCTTTTTAATATGCTGTCTAGGTTGATCATAGGTTTTCTTCCAACGAACAAGCGTCTTTTAATTTCATGGCTGCAGTCACCATCTGCAGTTATTTTGGAGTCCCCAAA